GGTCAGCATGGAGATTTTATAAGCTGCGGCATAGCAGTTGAGCTGTTAGAATTACATACATATTTCACAATACTGAACACTTTCTTTGGAACTTTACAAGTGTACCATGTGTACAGTATGAATGAAACACTTTATGATTGTCACAACCAAGCTTGCAAATAACTCAAATATCTCCAAGCTCCTGTACGTGAGTGAATGCACTTTTATCCACATCAGCAAGTTGTATAAGAGCTACATACGTGCTCAATGCTTTGATAATCTCCGCCCCGTGTCGTAGTCTTTATGATGGAGTGAATACATTCCTTGTGATAATAGCCAACACTATGCCTTGCATAATAAACTCCCAGTTGTAAATCCTCCATTGTGGAGTCGCCAGCGGGATTGAGCTGGAGTGTTTGGCCCGACCCTGGAGAGTGTTCATAGTGGAGAACCCTCTTGTCAATGTTAGCGTAAGTAAAAACAAACAGACAAACTGAGTGATTTATAAGAATCCTGTTGAGCAGGTCATGACTGCAGATTGTCAGTTCTCATTGAAGAGAGGATTAGGTCCGAAGTGTTTGCTTAAGTGTTCAACATGTTGAAAGTGAAATTTTTGTTAGGCTATTCATATTCAAGTTTGGACTATACCTATTCATGAATGTAGAGGGGAAATGTTTTTTGCTACAGTTGAGATGTTCTTGTGTGGTCATGTGACAACTTATTACAGTCCTTTGTGTTTTGTTATGAGTTGTTATAACATGTTTAGGAGGAGATATGTTTGCATAATACGCTTATGCCATGTTGTGAACAGGGAAACTGAAACTTGTATCATGAATGTTTTAGTTTTTCAAGCAAACTTTATTGCTGTAAAAGGCGACGATGCTTGTCGACAAACGGGTTGATTGGTCAGACTCGCTGACTTGTTTGATGCATGTCTTCGATCCCAATTGCTCAGATCGATGTGCATGACTTCAATCACTGTATTGTCTGGTCCAGACACGATTATTTGCAGACTGACGTTGTATAGCTGGAATATTGCTGATTAAACAACAAACAAACAAAACAAACACTAAGACTCTGTATTTACAGGTTGCCTTGATATCACTGAAATATTGCTGACAGTGGTGGTGAACAGTACTCCCTGTTTGCATGTATGTCATGCTGGCTCCCACACATACTTCACAGACGGCAGACTGTTAAAATTGTTATTTTCATTGTTTAGGTTTACACAAACCTGAAGAAGTACTCGAATTTCATGAGAGTACTTGAGTGTACCTGAACTTAAAGAAAAGAGTCTTTTTTCTTGTAAAGTACACCAATTTCATCAAGAACTCCTTGAACTAATTTAGACGTTATTTGGGAAGCATGTTGTGATATATTACATTGCGGTCAATTTCCATCACCCAAATCCTCAACTGAATGGATATTATAGCATGGATTGTTTGATATTGTAATGACAGTATGTAGGTAGTTAGTTATTATTTACTGTCACACCTATCCACAGTTATCTACCCTATACCACATGCATTATATGTACATGTACAGGTGATAGTGTCTGTGTGTAAATGAGCATAGCGTCAGTAGTGTACTGAAATACCTGGTGTCGTGTGTTCCAACTCTCACTTTTTCTTCCAAGGAGCCTTAAGCTTTCCTGGAATCTCCCATCTGTCCAGTCATCCAGAAATAAAAATGTAAATACAAACAAGAAAATTCCTCCACACTAGTTAACAGTTTCAGAGCCTGGATTAACTGATCATCGTTCAATTAGTTGGGTGAACAATAGGGCTGTTACGATTCACTCAAATATTCAGTGATTCAAACCGCATCCATTCATGAATTGAATTCGTTATTTGTGGACACCAGAATCAAATATTTATGAATATGCAATCATGTGTATTTACATACCCGTACCTAAAAATATCCTTAAACACATATATGATATGAATAGATTTCTTTCAAAGACAGCACTCTGATAATATTTAATTTGACAGTACTGTGGTCACTGGTCATTGTCACTTTTGAGCAGATACTAGTACCTGGATAAGTGCAGTATATAAATGTTTAATATATTAATAATCAACAAATCATGTCAAGTATTTTATGTTGTTAATGTTTCACTGAATGTAACAAATAATCATCATAATACATCAACTGCTGACTTGTTTTTGTATTCGTGAATTAATGTTTGTATTCATTACCCTATAATCGTGATAGAAATCATATTCGCCTCATAGTGTATTTGTTGCAGCCCTAGTGTACAGTTGCGATGATTTGTACTTAAACATCTTATGAAAGTGGAAAATGTACTGTAAAAGTATTGGCATTGCTTTATCAGACAGACATTATAACCATGGTAACAATATTCTGAATATTGTCAACATTTGTCAATCTTGTTTTTTCAAGAACAGGGTATTGAAATCATTTCAGTGTTAGAAATTGGCACTAGTCCTATAGTCCTTGCCAAACTGCCCAAAAGTTAATGTATCATAAGGACGAGTAGAAATTTGCTCTTTTTAAGGGTTTTGCTATATGTTATCATTGTAAGGTCTAGTGGTCTAAAACCGTTAGTTTCAAACGCTGCATTTAGTATTATTGTTTCGTCACTTGGTTAAGATTGGATGATATGTATGGATCAACAAAGCACTTGCTTTTATATTAGTGTATTCAGTGCTTTATATTTTCAACACATTCCGGTCTTTGAGAACAGCATGCTCAAATTGTGAGTGTGTTCAATGCACTGGGTATTGTCATACAATTACTGACAGGAAATAGCTTGAAATTAGATTTCAGTTTCTTAGATAAACAGAGAAGCAAATACGACATTTTAGTTTGCTAAAGAATGGCCTCCAAGGAAGTGTCTCAGTTTCGTGTTTGTAGTTGGTGACACGTAGTATCCAGGATACTGCTGGTTAATGATGCACATGATGTTATTCATGAACTGTTATGGTAACTGATCTGGCTACAACGTTTATGACCTAATTGTGCATGTAAACTGATTTTTACAAATGTCTTCCAATGGAAGGAGATTTAGTTTCATTTTTGCATGTCTTTGTCCAATTAAATGTACACTGTTTCAAATTGTGACCATTCATTCAGGGTTAGAAACTAACATGTCTAGTCACCTAGTCCTTATAATGATAACGTATAACAAAACCCTTAAAAAGGGGACATTTCTACCAACCCTTATGATACCTGATATTGGGCAGTTTGGCAAGGACTATAGGACTAGTATATATAAATCTAATGTATTTACCATAATATACTGTTCAATAATGACTTGAGCAATGTAAAGTGATGGATGGTGAACAAGGTGAATATATTGCTTAAATTTATGTATAAGAGATGATATATGGTGCGAGAGTAACTATGGCAACAAAAGTATCATGCTCAAATACTTTCGGTTATATTTAGCATGTTTAGTGTACCTTGACTGATTATTCGGATAGGATTCCAGAGAGAATATATCCCGAGTACCAATGCTTGTTGATTTGATTGATTGATTGATTTGTTGTTTAACGCCGCACTCAGCAATATTCCAGCTATATGACGGTGGTCTGTAAATAATCAAGTCTGGACCAGACAATCCAGTGATTGATATCATGAGCATCGATCCACCCAATTGGGATCCAATGCTTGTTGAAGACTTCTAAGCATAACACGATTACCGTGAGTGACCTGGCTAATCGTGCAGATTGTGTGTCATATTGTACCCATGCTATCAACCACCAGTTTGCCTAGCCCTATATGTATAGATTAAGATGGAATATTGCAAACTGTGGCATTAAAAAGTATTCACTCACTTGCCTGTATGAACAAAAGGATAAACAACCAGTGTGTTTAGTAGTCTGTTTAAGACTTTGTACCAAAGAAATAGCTGGAACGTTTAATATTCTTCTGTTTTCTTAGTGACAGCTGCAACAGTGGGAAGTATCTGACATAAGTTGATTACATCTGAAGCATGTCATGTAGACTCAGCTGAAACAACTGAAAAAAACCAGATAAATAGATACAAAAATGGGTTTCGGGCAGGTCCTGTTTTGTTCATCATCATTTGGCTTCTATTACCAGATCAATGAGGTAGAAATTCTGGATATATTTAGGGTTTCACTTGAGTCTGTGGAATTGTTAAAGAGACAGGGCATTCAGCGTTAGAAATTGGCACTGGTCCTGTAGTCCTTGCAACACTGCCCAATAGTTAAGGTATCATAAGGACAAGTAGAAATTTGCCATGTTTGAGGGTTTTGCTGTGTGCTATCGTTATAAGGACTAGTGGACTAAAACTGTTAGTTTCTATCGCTAGTCATTTTTTAAAAACCATCTGGTGACAGATCACTAATCACAGGCTGCAATAGACGGCTTATCACTGATTCACTCACAGCTGGCAATGTCTGGCTGACAGTTGTTGATGTGGTTGGTTTTGTCACTGCTCCAGATAACTTAATGAGTCAATGGGCATTGATACTTTTTTGTTAGTGTTAAATCTATTTTTGATTCCAGTCTATGGGCTATTTTAAAACCTATAATTAGACCTATTTAAGAATTATTCTGTCGCATATGAGCAACTTTTTTATCTGGTGTGCAAAATAGGGGTTGTACTTCAGTACCTGCAAAACTATTGCCTGAAGTTGTCTTTTAGTATCCTTTCTATAGATGTTTGGGACCCGTGAAGATTCCGGGGTAGAATAGGTCTTCAGCAACCCATGCTTACCGTAAACGGTGGCTATGCTTGTTGTAAAAGGCATGTCATCGGTCCCAATTGCATGGATCGATGCTCATGACATTAATCATTGGATTGTCTGGTCCAGACTCCAATATTTACAGACCGCTGTCATATAGCTGTAATATTGCTGAGTGTGGCGTTAAACAACAAACCAACCAACCAACCAATAGATGTTCGTGACTGGCTAAGTAATATAGCACTTTTTACATTCCTGAAACAAGAGGTATGATATTGTTAATTGTTTACTCTGAACATGCTGATTGAGATTTGGACTAACTGGTTGGACTGTTGTGTGTTTCAGGAGGCAATGAGCTCCAGCCAGAAGTTCCCCATGTCCCCGGGGTCGCTGTATGACACGTCTGTCCAGGACAACTCCATCAGCCTCACCCAGTACCACGAGTACCCCTCCACACACCCCTTCATCAACACAGAGTTCAGGAGAGCAGCGGGCAAACTGTCTTCATCATATCCAGAGAATAACCGAGATGGTAGGAACCTGCAAGACTCCATCTAGTACCATGCTTCTCTTTACTTGGAGTCCAATACCTGTACTGTGTTTCAGGCGTGCTGTCTTGACTAAATGACAGTGTATGCATATTGCGTAATACGCTTATGCCATGTTGTAGACAATAGGGAAACTGAACCGTGTATCATGAATGTTTTAGTTTTTCAAGCAAACTTTATTGCCGTAAACGGGATTGTGTGGTCAGGCTCGCTGACTTGGTTGATGCATGTCATCGATCCCAATTGCGTGGATCGATGTGCATGACGTCAATCACTGTATTGTCTGGTCCAGACACGATTATATGCAGACCGCCATCGTAAAGCTGGAATATTGCTGAGTGAGGCGTTAAACAACAAACAAACAAAACAAACGCTAAGACTCTGTATTTACAGGTTTCCTTGATATCACTGAAATATTGCTGACAGTGGTGTTGAACAGTACTCCCTGTTTGCATGTATGTCATGCTGGCTCCCACACATACTTCACAGACGGCAGACTGTTAAAATTGTTGTTATCATTGTTTAGGTTTACACAAACCTGAAGAAGTACTTGAGTTCTCAAACTTCATAAGAGTCTTTTTTCTTGTAAAGTACACCAATTATGTCTTGACCTAATGACAGTGTATGCATATTGTGGGAGTGAAAGTCATCTTAGTGATAAATAGAGAATATCACCCTAGTGTCTTTTGATATCAAATATATTAGGGGTGAAACGATACATCAGTGCACCAGTGGCTCGTGAGTTTTCATGCGATGATACGATCAGTGATTTTGACACAATAGGCTGTATACAGGTCAATGACTTGGGCCTAAGAAATGTAATAAGTCAATGGCAAAAGTCAATAAGTCAAATAAACAAAGATGTCGGATGCAGTAAAATTTCAAAGTTAAATCAGTACTTTAAAAAAATTAGGCATAGCTTCCACGCTTCATGCAATACTGCCATAAACTTCACCCCCCCCATTCCCTTAACACAAGGACAACTGTCACTAGCGTGCAATGTCTGACCCTTTCCCCATGTTAAAGCATATTGAAAAAACTTACCTTGAACTTACTTTTTGTTGAAAAAAAATCAAAACAACATAACACATTAATACAACATATATCCCCTTGTTATGTGTTTTCGCACGCTGAAGAAACATTCATAGTTTTCTCGCTAATCACATGAATAACTGTAGCTTAGGCTAAAAAAAATAATAGTGTTGGTTCTCAGGCACTGCCCACATCATCATATAGTTCATTGCATGTTTCGTTGCTAACATGTATCTGTAGTTAGCTTAAAGTTTTGAAAGTTCCTTGAAATTTGTCTTGGCAAGAAGTTTCCATGTGATTTGACGTAAATATGAGTATCACAATACATATATCGTGACTTATATATTGTGATATGTATCGTATCATGACCTTGCTGTATTGTTACACCCGTAAAATATATCGAGAAAAGTATAAAACACTGCGGCTATGCTGGATGCACCTAGTATGACATTGATTTGTTACTGCTGAAAGCCACATATTCATAATTCACTCACTCACTCCCTGCAGCGGTGGTCTCAGCTCTGCGGAATCTTCAGGACAAGGTCCGGAAGCTGGAGCTGGAACGGTCTGCGGCAGAGAACAACCTGAAGTCGCTGGCGTCGGAGACGTCCCGCTACAAGGACATGCTGCAGGGGGAGCAGGACAACAAGGACTCCACCAGCATCCTCGTCAACAGACAGACCAAGGGTGAGGGCACCTTCTAGCTGTAGCATCAACACAGACAGGATTGTCTTGTGGATTTCCCCTTTGTTATTTCAATGATTGAAATCATGGCTTGATTTAGCACCAGTGCAACCTATTATTGAAAAATGCAACCTAATATTTATGTATACATGCACATGTGGTTGCACAAGTGTAAAAAAAAATTAAATTTGTGTCTGACTAACCCTTACGAACGATAGAAGAAAGGCGGGTATTTGAAAACATTTTGGCTTAAAAAGCTTGTGGAGGATGGGATAGTCAATAGAAACACTGCAGTTTGTAAAATCTGCACTGCACAAATGATCTGGCGGAACAACCAATTTAACAACATCATCATCGTCATCCAACATCGTAACGTGTGGCATTGTCATCCACTTCAGCTGTGAAGTCATTACAAAGTGGGAGCTGCAATATATTGCAATACGTATCGCAATACTTCAGTTTGTATTGCAATATTTTTCAATACGGAATTTCTGCCAATACCCATCCCTGTTATTTACCATACTATATCACTCATCCCTGTGTCCTGTGTAACAGTGCAGGTTAAGTCAAGTTCATCAAATCAAACCCTGTCATTTCGGTACAATTTCTGGTTCCTTTATCAAGTAAACTATCCATAAACCTATCTTTCTGTCCAGTGCAACATCTGGGCTAAACTCTCAGTATTGAAAAAAACAATGAAACCTGCAGGAGAAGTGTTCAGACTAATCTTGTAAGAGAACACAAAATACAACAAGAAAGTATGATAGCATCCACAAACCCGAGCATTATGTACACAGTCATGTGCCCAGTCGGTGCCTGTAAAGATGCAGTGTAATTTGGTGATGTTCATCTGCAACCACTCAATCTTTTGTCAGACCCTTGAAGATCTGGGGTAGAATATGTCTTCATGCTTGCTGTAAGAGGCAACTATGCTTGTCGAAAGAGGCAACTAACAGGATCAGGTGGTCAGGCAATTGCGTGGATCGATGTCCATGATGGTAATCACTGGATTATCTGGTCCAGACTCGATTATTTACAGACTGCTGCCATATGGCTTTAAAATTTCTTAGTTCGGCGTTAAACAACGAATGAAACAAACAAACACTCATTCTTTTCTTAGAGTTGGGGTCGCAGTTGTCGGCCGCGGAGACGAAGTGTGACGTCCTCGAGAAGCAGCTGAACTACATGAGGAAGATGGTGCACAATGTGGAGCGGGACCGCCTGGACACCGTCGCCCGCACCGTCGTCGTGGAACAGCAGAGGGAGGAGGTAATGCCCAGGAAGTTCAAGATTCAAGCGGAACGCATCTCCGAACTGGAGCGAGAACACCTCAAGCTGACAGCCACGCAGAATCTAGCAGAGGTATGTTACACATGCCGTGTATAAGGAGATGTCGAAGTGAATGAGAAGCTTACCATCATTTGATCATGTTGAGTTAAGACTTTCAATTATTATGATTATTGTTTGGATTTTGGTTATTGCTTGGTTATCTTGAAGGGTGGAAAATTGGTTGAAGTATGTCAAATGCCTCAAACTGGACAGACTATTGAGAATGTTCATCTTTCCAGGGAGGACTGCGAGACATGTGAACAGTTTGATTTACCAATAGATGGGACATTAAAGCAAATGCTACAGTTAATTCTGGATATGAGGCACGGTATTGTTTCATATCACTTCTATACCTTGTCCATGTATTGACATTTGTCAATTACAAGACAAGTACAAGTGTAGTGTTTCTTCTCCAGTCCAAGATACGAGAACTGGAAGACAAGCTGAGAGATGAACGGTTGACCAGAAGGATGACACAACAGAGAGCTGCAGAGGTACTGGATTAATGGGCAAGAGTGGCCCTGTGCCCTTCATCCATCTGTTACATGCATTAAATCTTAGATGCGTTATTGCCCCTGTGAACGTCCTCACTTCACTAAGGTATCAAAGATAAGACATATATTACAAGTTTTTTGGTTGCAAAGGAAAAATTATCTGCTTGCACACCTCTTCCTTTGGCATTTAACATGTTTGAATATTTCTCCAAGTAGGTTATGATGCTTGAAATATTAAAGCATTAATGTTCTTGCTATTGATAGTTCAGCTCCAGTGTATCTGAGTATGGTAGGTCAGTTAACCTTTAACCTTTCAGTTGTATCTCTTTGTAATGCTAGGATCTGGGATAGGTTTTCAGCAACCCATGCTTGTCGTAAAAGGCGACTATGCTTGTTGTAAGAGGCGGCTAACGGGATCGGGTGGTCAGGCTCGCTGACTTGGTTTATGAATGTCATCGTTTCCCAATTGCATTGATCGATGCTCATGATGTCAATCACTTGATTGTCTGGTCCAGACTTGATTATTTACAGACCGCTGTCATATAGCTGGAATATTGCTGAGTGTGGGATTAAACAACAAACAAACAAACTGTAATGCTAGGATCTGCTTATTGTGGGTTTGAATCCCAGATTCTGCCCTGATTATGATCCTTGGTCTGTATGCACCGTACCTGTGGTCAAGCTTTCATTCCTGTTATATATGTCTTCCATCTACTTTACACTGGGTTTTCCTCCAACATCCAGCTGACATGATATATAACTGACCTACTGTCCAACTCATGCCAATATGTCGTCTTCCAGCGGGAAACAGATGCTGCAGCTCAGAGAGTGTACTTCGCTGCCGAGGCCAATGGTCGACCGCCGGTGAAAGCCAAGAAGCCAACAAAGAAGAAGAAGAAGAAAGTAGTGGCCCCCAAGAAGACGAGCAACCACAACACCAGGAAGGCAGAACCCTCCAAACACTACAGGCTGAACCTGGCAGAGATTCCCTTTGTGGCTGGGAGGGTTAGTATGGTTAGACGTTATCAGAGATGGACTTTTCCTTGAATTTGATTGGCTGCTGTAGAATTACAGCTCTCTATTGGTGGGATTAATCTATATGTCATTGTTATACCAGTACATTCCCTGGATTTACCCTTTCACTTTGAGTGACATCTCTAATAGCACATTGGTAAATTGATGCAGGACTACTATTTTTTATCCACCACAACACGTTTTGCAGGGGGTATTAAAATGGTCAATGCAGTCCATCTGTTCGTTCGTGCATATGTCCATGCAAGGTGTCACTTCTGGATCAAATATTGAAAACCCTACAGTATTTCTTTACTAAACTTGGCACATAGATAGCTCTAGTGGTGAACTGGTTCCTTTTGATTGTTTTGGATTTTCGACAAAAATATTTTTCAAGTTTCCATGGCAACAACTTTGACTTAGACTGAAAATATTGGTAGTGCTCGTTTCTGGAACAGATCTTGAAAACCATACAATATATCTTTACCAACTTGGTGCACAGATAGGTCTAGCGGTGAACTGGTGAAACTGAGTTTCCATGGCAAACTATTTATATGTAACTTGTTGATATATTCACGACAAGTATTTACCATTGAGGAGGATATCAATGACGTCCTCTTGTTATTATAATTACCTAAGTTTTAATTCAATCGTTACTTTAGGTACAGGTTAATGGTATCTCCATCAAGTTTGATTCTGTAATGAACGTTCTGGACACATGCTGTTTATGGTAAAGTTCTTGATGTAATGTAAGTTATGACGTTTTTCTACACAGGCAACAACCCCCAGCCATTCTGTAGGCGCCAATGTCCAAAGGGTTCTTGCTTGGATGAAGACCCACAGCACAGCCCTGTGCCAGGAACACTACCAGAATGGTGACATTCCCAGCACCGAGAGCGCCTCCTCCAGCTCCAGCAGCAACAGCCTCGACAACGACCTCTCCGACATCCTGCTAGCACTGCAGGATGAGTTTGGGCAGCTCAGCTGGTAAGAAGAACTTCCTGTCGATCATCGGGTGAAGGCCGTCCGTAAGATGGTCATCAGGGTAAACCTTGACTTACAAAAGTGGGGGTTCAGAGGACCCCAGTAATTAATTTTTAGGGTCCTTGTAAATTAATTAAATGGTGTAGTGTACTGTATGTTTAGATAATTACTTTGGAGCCTGGAATGAATCAATGGTCATGTGGACAGTGGTCATGATTGATGGGTGAAATAACAGGCGCCCATCACTGCTGTTGATTCACAGAGATTTATCTAGTCCTGCCCCAAAGCTGATATTCGGCCCCAAGTGTGCAGCAAATGTCAGTAAAATTTCCCAAAATAAATTAATAAATTCCCAATATTGATGAGTGCTGAGTTAAGCAACAAGCAAACCGCAATGGCCATGCTGGTGTTTCAGACTGATCGGTATGCTGTATCACTCTGGTTTTAAGACCTTTTAGGTTTAGATTCCAGCCAAAACAACAAGATGACTTGCTTTAGAATCTGTTGATATCAGGCAAGTCCCAAATTATTGGTTGGAGTTTTGAAAAAAAGTTTGCACCTGAACATGTTTTTTTGATGAGTCATATTTGATGCTACACACCTGTGAAGATCCGGGGTAGAATAGGTCTTCAGTAACCCATGCTTGCCGTAAAAGGTGACTATGCTTGTCGTAAGGATCGGGTGGTCAGGCTCGCTGACTTGGTTGATTCATGTTATCGTCTCTCAGTTTTGAGGATCGATGCTCATGATGTCATTCACTGGATTGTCTGGTCCAGACTCGATTATTTCTCAGACCGCCGTCATATAGCTGGAACACTGCTGAGTGCAACGTTAAACAACAAACAATCAATCAATGATGCTACACATTCCCATTTGTGAGAACTAGTTTTTACAAAAACATCAAAGGGACTGTAACAGAAGTCTGGATCTGCCCACACCTGTTATGTATGAATCTATAACTCAGATAGTTGTTGAGGATAATATTCTCCCTTCACCAGCGAGCACCAGGAACTGGTCAAGCAGATCAATGAGGTGGCTGACCTGCGGGCAAGGGAAGACATGGAAAGGGAGTTAGACAGTCTCATCGTTAAGATGGACGTCAAAGGGCAACAAATATCAAAAGTCAGACAGCATCAACAGAAGGTCAGTCTGAGTAACATGATATTTGAATAAATTATTCCTGATAATATAATAGTTTCAGATACAGTTCTTTTAATCATTGTATAAAAATTCTTTAAAGTTATATTATTGGGTAATTATTAACCGAATCACCGGTAGATTCAGAGAAACGTGTGTACAGCTTTATACCGGAACACTTCTATGATTTGGCATTTTTGTTATGTCTTAGCACCTACAGTATACAATCTGATGAATGTTTATGCGGCACATTTGCTTTTGATATTGTCAAACATGTATTTATGTATTGTAAAAAGACTCAACAACAAAGAAATATTCTTGTTGAGTCTATTATTGATTTACTAGATGTGACAACGTTTTCTAGTATCTGGAATGATGATGATACCTTTCTGTCCTATTTACTAGGTGGTTTGCCAACAGAAAGTACCATGGCAATTGAATACAATCTATGGACAAATATAAATGCTCTGTGTATGTTAAACTGTTAAAATGTGGAAAAACCTACTAAGAAGAAACTATCTATCTATCTATCTATCTATCTATCTATCTATCTATCTATCTATCTATCTATCTATCTATCTATCTATCTATCTATCTATCTATCTATCTATCTATGTGGGGTCGCTTTATAGACAGGTTTCTGATGGAAAGTTTTGAGGCATTCAGGAAATCACAGGAATGGGGCTATTTCTGTTTTTGCAGCGATGCAACACCTTTCTAGTTTTAATACATATTTGCCACTTTTTATCAAATAAATCATAATTTTCTTCATTTACAGGTGGAAGATATGAAACGAAAAATGAAGACAAAAAAGTCAAAAGATGCCCCTTCTCATCCACGCCCTCAGTCTGCCATGGCAAGTTTCCCAGCTAGGAGAACCTGTGAAAGTACACATTCCAATTCCAACCCCAAAACTCAGTGCTGTACAAGTCGAACGTCGCGGCAACACACTGCCAGTGCCCGACAAGTTTCACTGGACGTTCTCAAAGACATGAAAAAATTACAAACAACATTACGGAAAGACGACCTATGCTGGGAATAATGCGTGGTGCCATTGTGATATTAGAACGAATTGTACAGACAAACCTATGGAATTATTTATTTATGTATATACAGTGGTCACAACAGAGGCTTTTGCCACCATCTTTTAACCACACTTGCTACAAGGAAATCTCAACAGGAAGGCTGTGTTATTTTGTTATCTTGTTTTTGTCTTGTTTCTGCATGTTTGGAGGCAACCAGATCTGCTTTTTTGAGGATTTAGGCCAAACTGTTTCATTTTTGTCTATTTTCAAGGTTTTTTTTCAAAAAAGAAGATTTGAGGTTATAAAATATAATACTGTTGTACATAACAACATACAAGCCAACGGTTTTTAAAAAGAGCGTATTTTCAATGACACATAGGATTTATGTGTTATTTTCCATAATGCTAAATCCATAGAAAATGACAATAATTGTTCTGGCTGTAAAACAAAAAAAGGAAAGAAATTTGAACTTTTTCAGTATTATTTGTATATGAGATTGAAAGTATTTGACCTAGGACCATATTGCCTACATATATTTCAAATTAGCAAATTAATTATGCAACAGCTATCAAGGTTATTTATGGTCCTCGTCACTTGAAATAGAATCATGAAATATTGCGATAATTAATTAACGAGAATAGCTGCATATGTGCTAATACTTAAAAAGTGCAAACAAGCCATTCAGCCGACAAGGAATATCACTTACAGTTGAGACAAAACTTACAAAGTGAGATTTTCAAGAAATGTCCATATTCTCTGTGATAAACATCATCATTCAGTTTTGATCATGTGGTTACAATCCGACTGAAGAGTGGCAATCTGGTAGCGGCGAGCATCTATATTGAGCAGCGTGTGCAGCAGAGGTTCATTACCAGCACAAACTGAAAGAGAAGTATGTCCAGATGTAGTATTTGAAGAACTACTGATATATAACCGCTCGCACGCACCTGACTGTCGATTCACACTCATACTCTAACCATGTGATCAAAACTCAATGATGATGTTCATCACTAAGAACATAGACACTGCACGAAAATCACACTTTGCAATTTTTGTCATCACTGTAAGTAATATTCTTGAATGGCGGAATGGCTTTGTTTTCAAATTTATAAGTGAGCAAGTTCAAATTAAAATTTAACATCACATCGGCATTATTTCAGCCATATAGCGACGATAAATTTATAAGTATTAGCACACATGCAGCTTTCTCTGTTAATTAATCATTGCAATATTTCGTGATTCTATTTCAAGTGGTGAGGACTAGACTATAGTCCTGGAGGGCTATAGAATCAGTAGTGATCTTCAAGGAGATTTTCTGCAAGAGACTAGCAACATGAGAGACAGAATATTTGCAATTCCTGTTACAAATAGGTTGTTTGGTTTACTACCCATGGTTATTTTTGGATGAAATATTGAAAAGTATTTGGGATAACCTTTATTATGTATGTAATAATCATTATTCATTTAGGATGATATGTCTGTATATATCAGCTATATTTATATACTCAAGCCTTCATTCTTGATCACTTGGTTTACATGTTTGGTTATGTAATTATAATTTTTTTTTGAAAGATAAACGTCTATAAAGAATTCTTTTAAGTATTGTTGGAGTAAACTGAAAAGTGTTTGATTTTTTTTTAACTTCACTTCCCATTTTGCTTGACTTTGAAGATTTCAACAGATTTGGAGGGAATTTTTTTTTCTGAAACAATTTTCTGTTTTCGTACAGTGAACCAAGTAATTAAAAAGAAAAGTTTGAGAAATATGTACAAATCAAATAACCTAAGGTGCAAATATCCGTACACATACCTCAATACTATTGCTTTTATTTATGTCTGTATTGCTCAAAATGTTGTATTAGTGCTACATAGTATCTGTTTCACAAGAGTATACTTTGTCTCATGTACTTATCTGGAATACCGTTCACATGTCAAATACAGAATCTTGAAAAGGTTCACATGCTTATAACAAATTTACAGTAATTTTATCTACTTTTAAACTTTTGATTTTATATGACAGCATAGGCTAGTCATGAATTTTACAATTTTCTCATTTATTCTTCATCCTTGACTCTAGATGCTCCATTACTTACACACAGGTAAAACACATGTAGATCCCCAGTTCATTAATGAGGTAGACTTTATGTTGTCATTTTTTGTGTCCGAAACTTTTTTCTAATTTGTTATATTTGCTCATAGGATGAGGCGACTATAGCATGTATAGTGACACGTTTCAGTTTCCTGCATTCCACAGTCCTGCTTATTCCAGCCTCTGTTACTTATTCCTCAGTGTCTCCATTCCTTTATAGTTTGTTGTTTCGGAGGAGACTGACACTGAATCTGTTCACAGAAATACACACATGCATACAGTGTTCGATCTCGGGCTGCACTGATGCTCATTTTCATAAGGCTTGTCTTATTGATTTTGATCTTGTTTTCGTTGATGATATAGCTTGTAAATGCCACTGTTAAAATACATGTAGGTAAATATCATTGGGTCAATATCACTGCATTGGTGTTCCTGTGAGATACAGGCAATTGTCATGATGCATTAGAGCATCAGTTGATCATCCATTCCCAGTGTCATCAACACCTTCCTCAGTACTTTGTATTATGGGATGGGATGGGTGGGTTGTTGAGGAGGAGCTGCACACATGTACTCACAGTGTATTGGTTAGGCTGCACTGATGCTCAACGTAAGTCGTTTTGGAGCAACATAATCCTCCAAGTCATTTATGACTGCTGGAATTATGACAATTAAAACAGTTATTCAAAAGTTGATCGCTTCTGTAAGTATTAGGTGGTACCCATGCTTGACATACCAGCTGACTGAGGATCGGCGGGTTACAGTGTTTAACCCAGGGCTGCACTGATGGTCATGTTGGAGGAAATTGTTGACATGGATTTCCATCCTGTCTTTATTGGCATGACAGCTTGTCAATGCCACCTCTGAAAGAAATCTGCCTCATTACCATTGTAGATACTGATAGGTGTCATGATACATCAGTGCATCAGTGGAGCCATTTCGTCATCAACACCTTCATCAGTATAGTGTGGGTCCAGAGCAGGTGAGGTACACAATGATTGACGTAACAGTCCACTCCTGGATGCTGTGACAGTTGGAATATTAGTGACTTCAGCATTAAACAACATTCACTCACTCACCCGTAACTACATTTATCAGCCATGTAAAAATCAAATAATGTCAACGTTGTGCCTTTCTTAGACAGAAGAATCATTGTGCCATCATTATGCCTTTATAGCTGTATGTGTAAGCTGTTGTCTATAGTACCTGGTGTGATTCTGTCACTGTCCCGCCGTTGTCACTGTCTTGCTGTTGTCACTGTCCCGCTGTTGTCACTGTCCTCAGTAAATGAACTCGCGCTTGACCTTTTCCAAAGAATGATTCTGGAGTTCTTCCATATGAGGGAGTGATAGGTTAAGCTAGTTGTTAAGGTATACCTATTCATACATATTTCAATACAGACAAATTTCTGTCCTTGTGCTACAGATTCTTTTTGTGAATTTGCAAAGAGGCAGGAGACATAAGTTTAGAGGGTATATATATACTAATTTCCATTGAATTTCTCAAAAACACCCTGGAAATAATAGTTTTATAATAAAACAAACAAAAAGATGTTTAAATGAATGAGTCCATTCGTCCTGCCTACCGATGCTTTGGAAACTACAATCATTGCTGTGTCACTAGAACAAGGCTAAAGCAACAGTCGAGGTATTTTTGTACTAATTGAAAGTAAAAGTCTTCATTGGATCAGCGACGACATTTAACCCAGACAGCTGGGTAGGTATCAAAGGGAGACAATCCATACATGGTTCTTCCAGGTGTGGTATGGAAATTATGAAGCCATGAATGCTAAAATTGCTTTTCACTCTATACCACCACATACCGCTTCCATATTTGCTATGTCTAATGAACATAACCTAGTAGACCACTTGAAAGACTTGACTTTTAAGTTCTTCCAAAATGTTTCATTCGTTCAGTGTTAGTTGTGCAAAGGAGGGTGCCTTCTCTCATAGAAATACAAAAGAAATAAGAACCCAAGGATCTCTTTTTATTCAAGGTTTCTCGTGTTCAAGTAGGTTTTGTCCTATCCATAATCAAAATATGTTGAAATTTCACTTCCAGCATTATCAAGATCTGAGAGGCATTATTTAGGTGACACTTCTTGTATATTGGGGGCCCAGGCGGCCCAGTCGCTGTGAAGAGCACACCAGAAACCTATGATTGTGGGTTTCCAATCCCGCTTCGCCCCGATTATGTTTCAAGGTTTGTCAGCACCATACCCGTGCTCGTGGGTTTCACCAAAGTAGTAAACGTCAGACCTGCATCACTCCGGGCTTTCCTCCCACATCAAGCTGACACGCTGTGATATAACTGGAATACTGTTAAAAGCGGTGTTAAACCCAACTCACTCACTCACTCTTGTATATTGTATTGTTTACAGTTCAACCAACTCATTGAGAAGAAGGAACTAAATACTAATGAAAATGGATTAGACACATGAGACAAAAGGAAATAATTAATCAAACATATGAAGTAGCAGAAAGTTGTTTTGGGCTTATCCCGGTTGGTTTAAATCAATTAAAGTAAACAATACAATAGCAAGTTTCGCCTTATAATAGCACTCCAATGTTTTTTAAAGTTGGCACAGCTACATTCTGTCACATATGTGATTCCATGTTAATACTCATTCCATAATATTGCTTTAACAGAGAAGAATTTATGACGAGATGAAATGTGACTATATGTTTATAGTGCCTTCAACTGTTTCCAGAACTGTCCAGCATCAGCCTTGTGTAAAGCCATAATGTTTATATTGTCAGTATATTTTATATATAGTTTTTGGAATCCTACATGTTGAGTTAGCTCTGCTGTTGTATTTCATGCATCGAGAGGAAGCATACTGATACTCCTCATGCCAGAACCTGGTAAATGGACATTCTCAGTACATGGTCAGGTTTTTATGGATACTTTCTAATGATCGTTCAATTGCTTAGTAATGGACAAACGTTCGAGTAATTTCATATCGATCAAACCTTTTATTGTAGCTTCAAAATCCCAGATTCACCATGATTATGTTTCAAGGTGCAAAATGGCTAAGACAGAACATTGCACAAAATTGAGGTTAGACGGATGAAAGATGACATTGAAGCCAGTTCAGTTATGGCCATGCAATGTAGCATCATGTCTGATTTTCTTTAGGGGCGGGCGGGTAGCCTAGTGGTTAAAGCGTTCGCTCGTCACGCCGAAGACCCGGGTTTGATTCCCGACATGGGTACAACTGGTGTCCCCCGCTGTGATATTGCTGGAATATTGCTAAAAGCGGCGTAAAACCATACTCACTCACTGATTTTCTTTACTAAGTCATTATGTTTCGTTTCATCAAGAGTTCCATCTATAATTAGCGTAAAGCTTCAAACATGCTTCATTTCTTGGTTCAGCAGTCATCTTGGTACCCCAATGATTACACCTGGGATCCCCCAAAATCATTGATGAGATTGTGGAGTCACACATAGAGAGACTCAGGTAAATGCCTGCCTAGGGCTTTCCTCCAACATCACTCTATGACCACTCACTTGTGTTTCCCAGGTCCATCTAGTCATTGTAAGTTGAGGAAACCAAGCGAAAGTAGTATGAATCTTGTACACTCTTGACGTAAAAGATTCAATTTTAAGATACTTTACCTCACACCTAACATTAGGAGGAATATTTGTATGAAAATGGCCAAATGTGACCAAAGATACCAATTCTTCAGTTTAAATATTGTAAGAAAGTATGGATCCTGATCGGGGGATGACAGATGGGAATTACTGGCAGGCTGACCATTTCATATGCTATTCAAAAATAGTTAAGGGCCACCCAATTCTTTCATATAACTATATTTCATCTGACAGATTAACTATAGCAATATGAAAGAATCGTGTGGTCCGCGATTGGTATTTGGGTTGGGGACAATATATGTTTCAGTCAGTGGGTCAAGAGGGGCGGTCGGGTAGCCTAGTGGTTAAAGCGCTCGTCACGACGAAGACCCGTGTTCGAATCCCAACATGGGTACAATGTGTGAAGCCCATTTCTGGTGTCCCCCGCCGTGATATTGCTGGAATATTGCTAAAAGCGGCTTAAAATCAAACTCATTCGCTCACTCATTGGGTCAAGACACATTGTTTTTGTTAACCTGGATAACGAGACATGCTCAGTTTGTTTTCTGTTATCAGTGCCTGTGGATGAGGTGGATCCTTTGTAATCTCGCTTTATGTGTTTGTCTCCATAACAACATTGTCAGCACATTTTCAGCCATCCTGGAAATATTCAGTTGGAAAATGTGTTGATGACAGCGTTGTGGTCCTGTGTATCTAGTGTCGTATCATACAGAGTATTTTATCCTCACAAATAATGTCATGTATATGATATGAAGTTATGAAATAAAATGTTGATATTATAGATCCTGTTTCACTTTCTTTTCTAGAGCACTACCGGTTTAGGAAAACACATGCCCAATGCAAAACAAAAAAAACAAGCATGAAATACTCATATCCCCCACCAATATGACATGTCCGGTTGTGTGCAATGCATTAGCTCCTGTGTCTATGTTCACTGGGCCTTTTTGTAAATGGCCTAATTGCAGCACTAAAAAAAGTTATTCCTGGTGTTGTTTTGACATCTGCAGTTTATGATAGAATATGTAACTGTATTTGAAATGAGTAAGGATGAGACATATGGACGAACAACTTCTTTATTACGATTAGGATCGATGGTTTCGGTATAGGTTCTAACACCGTTATCAAGCAAGTGAAGTATGGTTGAAAAGAATATATATACAGGCAGTGTTTTGTAATGAGTTGTGTTTCTGCATGAAGTTAGTCAGTGAATGCAACAACCGTGTCCATGATTCTTTTGGAGGAACATACACACAAGCAATGCAGAACTTACCAACAAGAAACGAAAAGTATTCAATACTGCGAGATGACATTATGTGCCAAGTTTGGTTAAGAAATATGGTATGTTTTTCAAGATCTGCTCCGAAACGAGGACTACCGCCATTTTCAGTCTAAATCAAAGTTGTTGCCATGGAAACTCGAAAAATATTATTTTTTAAAATCCCAAACTATCAAAAGGCACCAGTTCACCACTAGGCCTATCTATGTGCCAGGTTTGGTGAAGAAATATGGTACGGTTTTCAAGATCTGCTCCGGAAACGAAATATGACGGACGGATGGATGGAAGGACGAACGGACGGCACCCATTCCTATATCCCCCTTCCACTTCGTGGCGGGGGATAAAAGTTAATTGCAACACATTATGCAGTTTTTGACTGACAAAGTTCCTGGGGTGGGGGTCATAAAACATGTAATAAGTAATTTCTTTCAACAAGTGCATCAGCTTGTATCACCGATACAGAAAGAAACACGTATCATGCGTCGTATATCGTGGCATGAAATCTCAAGGTGCACCATTTCACCCCAAGTGACAAGTATATAAACCAAATATGTCCCTTCGAATTAAATTGTTAAAAAGAAACAAGTAGCATACATTACAGCTACAATTGGTAGACTTATCATTAAACCGCACGCATGTTATCAGAAATGAGCGGGCCACTGTAACTTGATAATGCCCTCATATTGCTTGACGACGGGCCATTTTATCACGCCCGTTGTTAGGTGACGTCATAGGATAGGGATAGGTGACGTATTTTTAAAGGTCGTGTTTCTTTTTATTTGATAACAAATTCCATCCATTTAGCTAAAATAACTGTAACGCTATATTTCAGGGCATTATCATTTGCAGAAGCCCTCGGTCTATTCAACTGCCCTCATTCGTCAGGCAGTTAATTGAAGACCACGGGCTTCTGCAAATGATAATGCCCTGAACAATAGCGTTACCCTTATGATATTCATTCAAAGTTAAGTTAACCATAAACATGATGTGCCAAGCAGGCAAATCGTGACCTATTTGAATTCTGATATCAAAATATTTTCATCACTTGTCGGATATAAGTATTCAAACAATATAACCTCTTAATGCATAATGCTCAAGACGTATATCCAGGAAATAAGTTGCTTTAGTGAAAATGGCATGCTTGAATAGTGACCTTCACTGTGATCTTGACCTTGTACGTACGTAGGTCACAACCTTTTCAGTAAATGCTTCCTGATTAACGAACTTTTCTGAAGGCTGTGACCTGGAGGATGATATTGACCTGTGACATGACTGGTCAGTGTGTAAAAAAACATGATAAGATATCCCTGATATGTCCAAACAAAGGCGTGGATTGGAAAGGTGGAGAGGCGGCGGTCAAATTCAACACAAACCATTAAGCGTTCCCATTTGCATCGGGATGCTTCATTACCGAGTAGTTAAAGTTGGTTGAAATAAAAATGAATTTGATTATCGAAATATGAAATTTTGAAGTTCTGTTTAAGGTATGAGCCTACAGGGGAATTATTATTGTAGTGTGTTTGTTTTAAAGGTTAACAGGTGAGAACATTGTTCGTTTGAGGGGCCATAGTCATGTTTCAAAGTATAGAGGTCACCTACGTTCCCACTATAAATGACGTCCGTGAGCGTTCGGAAACATGTTTTACTGACTGACTGATAGGTCTTCAGCAACCCATGCTTGCCGTAAAAGGTGACTATACTTGTCGTAAAAGGCGACTAACGGGGTCGGGTAGTCAGGCTCGCTGACTTGATTGCATGTCATCAATCCCAATTGCGTGGATCGGTGCTCATGATATCAATCACTGGATTGTCTGGTCCAGACTCTATTATTTACAGACCGCCGTCATATAGCTTGAATATTGCTGAGTGCGGCGTTAAACAACAAACCAACCAACCAACGTAAAATAGTAGGACCCGTCACCTACGACTGAGCATCATGCGTGTGTCTTCATCAACTGATTGTTGTATGGATGCATTCTTGCTTCAGAGTCCGCGAGTCGAGGGAGAGAAAACCGGAGGAAATGGGATTGGGACACCGCTGTTACTTAAGGCTTCTTGTCTGTGGTCTCAAAAGATCGTCAGCACATCGTGGCATTTGTTGTGGAGTTGTCATTCAACTTACGTTCAAACTCAAAAAGGGACCATGATATATTCAATGCGTACTAGCTCAATGACAACATACAAGAAAAGGAAGAGAATTTATGGATGTGAACTTCTTTATTATGAAAAGAAGCTAAAACCAACAGGCATCATGGTCAGCTATGACGTAATCGACCTCTCAACCAACATCCCTCTACAAGAAGCACTTGACGTCCTCCACAACAAACTCCATAATAGCATCGACGACCTAGACACCAAACGCACCATAGACAGCATCATTAACCTAGCCTCCAGCTGCTTTGACACATCATATTTTACTGTCAACGACAAGATCTACAAACACATTCCCGGACTGGAGGAATATATACTCCGAAACGTTGAGTTCCGCATAATAAATAAGTTGACATCCATAAATTCTCTTCCTTATGTGCATTACTTCTAAATGCCTTTCAGTGGCTTGACAAACAAAGACTTCTCATGGTTATGCGAATTCACGTAGATGAGGAATGCCATGAACAGTTTGAGAAACAAACACTCTTGAGAATGTTTGTTTGTTTGTTGTTTAACGCCGCACGCAGCAATATCCCAGCTATATGACGGCGGTCTGTAAATAATCGAGTCTGGAACAGACAATCCAGTGATTAACAACATGAGCATCGATCCACGCAATTGGGATCGATGACATGCATCAACCAAGTCAGCGAACCTGACCATCCGATCCCGTTAGTCGCCTCTTACCACAAGCATAGTCGCCTTTTACGGCATCTTGGGTTACTGAAGACCTATTCAACCCCGGATCTTCATGGGTCCTTGAGAATGAGTTGGGTGGTGAAATTACTTCCCAGAATACCACATTTAGTCCACAGAGTCGTCAAGGGGTCAGTATTCTTCAGTCTTCTGAATGATATTACAGAAATCAACTCTAAAGGACACTGAGACTAAACTGATCGGAGAAAGATCTACCAATGACATGTACACTTGTATCTCAACTCATTGGACAAAAAGAATGGATGTCTGAAAAGTACACCCCACAACAAAAATATTTAATTCAAATGTTTTATATGAATGATTAAACATTTTAATGACATCAGTTTAATGCTAAATGTGGTGGCAATAGAGATATTCTCTAAAATTTGTAGATGTTGACGACATCTACTCTTGATTATGCTTAAAGCTTGAAACGATGGATTTGCGTGAAGCTGTTTTAATGTGATCAGCACATAATGACTGTTCATCTCTCGGGTGCTTATAAACACACTGTAGGCTTCCTGTGTACCACTTAATTTGTCCTGGCTTCCAATTTAAGAACGATTGAGTCACATCAGTGTACACAGCGGGTACAAGTAAATAAGCTTGGGATTTCCAAACAATGCATGATCATGTATGTTCATAGAGACAAAAAAGTATCAACATTGAGATATTGGCCAGATAAACATATCATGGCGTCCTCGGCATCCGGGGTACCAAACGTGGGTTGGCACCATCTCTAGCTACTACTTGATCAAAACTGGATCGGGTGGTCAGAGTCAGCGACTTCACTGACTGCGTGTCATTGTGCCCCAACAGCGATTGGATCGTTCGTTGTTGCTTATGATATCAATCACCGGTTTATCTGGTCCCGATTCGATTTTGTACATGCGGTCAAGATGAAGATGAAATATTGCACTCGCGACAAATCGTGCAGCAAGCCAGTGATAGTTTATTTACCTCTGTGTCAAATAAATATAAAGTGCCTTTTCAGGGGGTGTCATGGAGAAAATGATCGAGGGCATAGGGAGGGCCATCAAGCATTATGGGAGGATTTCTGTGCATAAGAGCACTAAAACCTCGGACATAACGGATGACTGATGTATACCTCGTTCAATAGCTGTTACAATGAATGAATGAATGAGTGAATGTTGTTGTCCACAGGAGTTGGAAGTTCCCCATATCACGTCAGTCCGTAAATAGTCGAGACAAAGCAGTGGTTGATAGCGCGAGCATGACCGTCGATGCTAAACGTCAGACAAGGAAGATGTGTTCTTGGACAAAAGGGACGCGAGACTGACAGATGTTGAAGATATACCGAGCGCTTCAAATGTATTTCACTCTGGGACTTTAGAAAAGACATGGAATCTCAATTGACAAAACATCTCAGTTTTCTACTCTTTCATATGCAAAGTGTTATCAAAACATCAATTATTTGGTCTTCATATTTGAAAAGAATCCCATCTGTCTATTCACCCCACGCAAGGCTTACAGGTAGCATTAATAGAATCGAAATTGAGAAATCGGAAAAGCGCTCGTAAAATCTAAACTATCACTAACAACGAAAATGATTAATTCATGCACTGGGGCATTTTCTTATATATAGGCAGTCTACTAAAAATAAATATAAATTGAATTCAATATCAACTATTGTGTTTATTGTATATTAATGTTTGCATAATTGAATCTCTTGTGGAATCAGATTCATGCAAATTCCTTAAAAACAAGAAGGTTTCTCAAGCTAATACTGGATAGATTTTGTTTATTATTTGTTTGGGTACGAACTGACGGGGTAAGTTTGGTTTAACTTTTATGTTTTCGGGGTACGTTTTACGACGAAATATATACATTTGTTACAAATATTACCACATCCCAAATAACCGGTCCCTAAATTTGATGCACAATGACCGGTCCCTCCCGTTAGGCACAGCTTGAAAGAAAATGGCGGCTGTTTGTTGACAGTCACCATGAAACGATTTAAAAAGTTGTGTTGTAGCCGATTATGAAGAATTAGCATTCTTCGATTAAACAAGGTCCGAAAGACCTGTTTTCAAACGATTGTTTGTTCGAACATTCCATTTGGAAGAGTGTAGGATTTCGGTGGAACTTGCAAAGGTATGCTATGGAAACATGTCCAAACACCTCTCAGAATGTTGTCATTCAAGTTTGACACTTGTTGTTTCTGTTTAAAATATACGTAAAAGGTATTATTTGTACTGTACATATGATGACCCACTATAGTACTTGTGGCTTGAACACATGTATACGTACATTAAACGAAATAGCCCTAAAGAAGTCAAAGTGAAAGAATGAACATTGCTAAGGAATCAAGAAATAAGAGATCTATCAGGTGTATATAACAAGTTATAGAGTGTATTTGTAGATATTTAATCATACTACTGCACTAAGTGTCGGAGAATTTGATCTTGCACCCTTACCCTCAAAGATAGAGTTCTACACATGCTGAAGTGAAAATATTAGATAATTTCTAAATGGTTTGAAGGGCAAGTATATGCATGTGCTAAGGGATAAGATAACAAGGGTGCAAGAAAACACAGATGTGGAGACATGAATTAAATCAATAAGCTTGATAAGTGTGCCTGTGGAATACTGCAATCTATTTCAGAACTATGTACACTTACACTGTACTGGATAGATCTACCTATTTTTTTAAAATTCAGAGGCATTTAAAATTTGTTGCAGACACAGGGCTGAATATCAGTGCTTGTGATGTCAATCACTGCATTGTCTAGTTCAGATTTCCAGGCTGTCATTATATTGCTGGAATATTGTTGCATGTAGCATAAAACAAACAAATATGCCTAAACTATTCCACGTGACTTGTCCCTATTGCAGCTATCAAGATGACTGGCATGATGATAAACAACCAGGTGATCCTGGAGGAAGACTATGATGAGAACTACGAACCCACAGAACCAGGTCAGTCTTGGATTGCAAGAAAGAAACTTGATCTCCAAGTTTTTTATTTAAAGTCAAGATGTCTGTGATCCTAACCATGATAACAAGCAATGTGTCCTTAAAAAATCATATTGGAAGAAACAAAAATGATATAATCATGATAATATTATAACCATGATGACATCGACATGAATAAGTATGTTTAGAGTAAACAAAATTCATGTTAGTTAGGACTGTTTTCATAAAATCATGATCATGATGATTGTGTCTTTTAGTAAGTTTTCAAAATCATTACCATGCTTACATAACACAAGTATTTTAAAAAGATGCCTACTTCACCATGTTCACCCAGATTTGTTTTTATGCATACAATGATAAAAATATCATCCTTACGAGTCCCCTGTATCATGTATTTAACATTAATTACCTTGGCCTTTGCAAGAACTTCAACAACAAACTTATTTTCTTTCTTATTTCAGAGGTTTATGAATATGCACAGATTATTGGACTTGATCCAAATGTGGAACCACACCTCATGTGGATTGCCAAGGAAGGAATCAATGCACCGCTGCCAGAAAACTGGAAACCATGGTAATGCTACTTCTGCCTAGTCTCACCTTTAATTTGTCTGGTGCTGGCTTGTACACTAGTAAAATGTACATGTCCCTTCAGCAGTTCAGATATCAAAAGGTGTCAGTTATTATGTTGGAACCTGTTGACATCTACACATTCTCCAAAAGACAAAAGACCTGGGTCAATAAAGGACTGTGGTAACTCATGGTTGTAAGAGCCAGCTTAGATGAGAATTTGGTGGTTACACTGTTTGACTGATGCACCAACATCATGGATTGTGGCTCATTTGGTCAATCACCAGTTTGTCTGGCCCAGTCTCTATTTGCAGACTGCTGTCATATATGCCAACTTAGTGACCATGGTGAAAACTAGTTTCAGTTATGAATGGGGTTCATACATCATGATCATGAGCGAAGATGACTTAGTACTTTCCAAGAGTTCATTGCTAAGAATGGCTCTTACCCATACGCCCCATGGTTGTTGTAACAAGTAGCATTGGGGTTTGATGATCTGATGATCACAGTGGCTACTGAGAATAACCATGATAACTAGTTCAGGTACATGGCTGGGTAATCACCGCAAACACTGTTTGTGCATCATCCTGCATCTATGATAATAATATGGAGAACATAGATGCACAATAATGATGGGTATTGGGTTGACTTTCGTATTACAATTTACTGCAATAATGATACATGAAATTCATCTATTATCATTATCATCATTAGAATTTTGTAAATCTTAATTTTCTCATAATTATTTCTTGCAGTCAAGACCCAGAGCAGAACATATACTACTTCAACTTCGCCACCGGGGAGAGCATATGGGATCACCCGTGTGACGAGTTCTACAGAGCTATGGTCGTGGAGGAGAGACGCAAACATGCCCTCAACAAGTCAGGTAGTTACAACATTCAATAACTATCCATTAAACATAAACAGAGAAATACATCTCAACATTTCATTTCATTAAGAACATTGTATTTGTGGTTATTGTTTATGCTGGTTACCACGGTTACAGGTCCTCAGAAGAAAAAGGGTAAACCTGTGAAAGAAGACTTGAAAAAGAAAAAGGAAAAACCTGGATTCAAGGTACTTTTTTCTGTTTGATAAATGACCGTTGTCCAAACATTGAGACATTTTAATGATCAAGATGCAAGAGGCAAAAAAATGTGTAATGGTGACAGTGTGAAGTTGCCAAAAGCGAAATATAAACAGATTTTCCACCTCGGCACAATGTAACAATGGCTACCATAATGAAACTGATTATGAAACTGGTTTGATGTAAATGGGAAGTTTAAATCCACATTAATAATGTAATCCAGAGCAAGAAAAGGTCAAGCATGTAATAGAATATGGGGATATACATAAATAGAATATCTTAGGCATCTGTCGCTTTCAACATGTTAAAACTTTTCAGATATTTGCTTCAAAGTCACGAAAGTTTAAATCTACATTAATAACGTAATCCTAGAACAAGAAAAAGGTCAAGCATGTCATAGAATATGGGGATATACATAAATAGAATATCTTAGGCATCTGTCGCTTTCAACATGTTAAAACTTTTCAGATATTTGCTTCAAAGTCACGAAAGTTTAAATCTACATTAATAACGTAATCCTAGAACAAGAAAAAGGTCAAGCATTTCATAGAATATGAGCATGATGAGGATTTACTTGAGTAGAATATCTTAGGGATCTGTCGCTTTCAACATATTTCAAATATTTTCCTCAAAGTCATGAAGTTTTATGTTTGTATTTTGATAACATTTGATAACCATTTGAGGTATGGTTTGTGCTTTCATAATTTGATCATGTTGTTAATATCGCTTAAGCTGATGTACTAGATTCTAGCAAACAGTGGCAGGTAATTGATCTAACTTTCTGTTATAAAATGGTGAAAGCATGCCATTATATTATTAAGCAACTTGGGCCACTGAAAGCTGAGCCAAGTAGAGGCACACCCTCTCTACACCAGGGCAGGAATCAGCTGGGTCCGCTCAAGTCCTCTGAGGGTCAGGCCACAGCCGGGTCATCACAGCTGGCACCCCTGAGGGGGTCTGCCGGAGCAAGTCAGCCGGTAAGTCTTCATACATATAGCTTGATCTGGTCCCCACCCCACAGTGGTTCCACTGTAGGGTAGGTCCATAGTTTGCTTGTAAAAGACCCCTGTGGGGTATCAAGGGCAGAGGAGGTCCCCTGCATCCCATGTTTGTTGTAAAGGAGCCCTGTGTGGGTTCCAGGGCAGAGGAGGTCCCCTGCATCCCATGTTTGTTGTAAAAGAGGGCTGTGTGGGATTCAGGTAAGAGGAGGTCCCCTGCATCCCATGTTTGTTGTAAAAGAGGGCTGTGTGGGATTCAGGTAAGAGGAGGTCCCCTGCATCCCATGTTTGTTGTAAAAGAGCCCTGTGTGGGTTCCAGGGCAGAGGAGGTCCCCTGCATCCCATGTTTGTTGTAAAAGAGGGCTGTGTGGGATTCAGGGCAGAGGAGGTCCCCTGCATCCCATGTTTATTGTAAAAGAGGGCTGTGTGGGATTCAGGGCAGAGGAGGTCCCCTGCATCCCATGTTTGTTGTAAAAGAGCCCTGTGTGGGATTCAGGGCAGAGGAGGTCCCCTGCATCCCATGTTTGTTGTAAAGGAGCCCTGTGTGGGATTCAGGGCAGAGGAGGTCCCGTGCATCCCATGTTTGTTGTAAAGGAGCCCTGTGTGGGATTCAGGGCAGAGGAGGTCCCCTGCATCCCATGTTTGTTGTAAAAGAACCCTGTGTGGGATTCAGGGCAGAGGAGGCCCCGTGCATCCCATGTTTGTTGTAAAAGAGCACTGTGTGGGTTCCAGGGCGATGGAGGTCCCCAGTGTCTCATGATTGTTGTAGAAGACTCTTTAGGAAATTCAAAGACAAAGTAGGTTCCTATTGTCCGATGTTGTTGTAAAAAACCCAGTTGGATTCCAGGGGCTCTAGTACTGATACCGATAACAACCAGTTAACATGAAGATGAAGTATTCATTTCATATTTGTTTAGAACTGTTTGTGTTTTAAATAGCATTAGAATAAATTCAGTTACTAGATCTTTATGAGAACCTTTGTCATCACTGAGTGAGACTAGCTGATTTTTCTTTACAGCTGTCACCAACTGTAAGTGTGCTATCTAGCAGTGGTTCATGTATACATGGTATATCCAGTAGTCAGTTATGAAGTAAAGGGCTTTACTTTACTTTCCCTTTGATTGGCAATCAAAAGTAAACGCTCTGTAACAAAGTAGCCATGTACTAGGTGGAACATCAAGGACCCATCCCTTTGGGTTGTATAATCAATGTACCCAGTGATTACTTGAGACTGCTGTTTTAATCCAATCAATCTACTCTCGTGTGTTTTAGTGTATTATGTCTGCATAGTAAGATAATATTGACCTGTGTTCTGGTTTGTGACATGGTGTAGTGGCAGTGTTTGAAATAATTTTTAAACCCAACAAGATGTAGGGCAGGAGACCCATAAAAATTGCCTGCCCCTCTTCAAAGCTACCTGCCTGCATTCAGATATTATCAATATTGAAAAGTCGCGAAAAATAAAAGACAAATCACGTCTTGATTCAGTAGAAATAATGCAAACAATTACTTGAGAATCAACAAGGATTTATAATATAACTGAATACATAAGCAGTCATAAAATTAGTTGCCAGACAGTTGGGCAGGTTGGGAAATTTCATGCAGGCCGACGGAAAAGTTACCAGCCACAGGCCGGTGGGCAGGCAGTTATTTCGGACACTGTGTAGTGGCATGTTTCGTACTGCAGCATCATGGTCAATGCTTGGTACTTCCTGCAGTAACATCAGTAACATTTCAGTAACCATGGTGTCCAGTACCTAATGTTTTGCCGTGGTATAGCTGGAGTTTTGCTGCCTATGGCGTAAATCAAAACTCATTGACATACTCACTTATAGAGTTATCTGCTCTCAGTAATTTAGTTTGAAAGTAATGTGTGGATGTTGTAGTTGATGGACTGCTACTGTTTTGTTTGAATGAAAACATTGCAGTCACACTGCTTGGTCCATTGCTCTGTCAAGTACATTCTGAACTGGTGCCTTTTGCTATTTAGAAATTTTAGAAATTTTATTTTTAACGTTTCCATGGCAACAAGATGGACTTAGGTTCTGTGAGGGTAGGGTTCGTTTCCGGAGCATAACTCATAAACCGTTCAATATTTTTTCATGAAACTTTGCAGGTTTGTCAGGTTCATTCTGAACTGGTGCCTTTTGCTATTTAGACTTTTTTATTTTTTACGTTTCCATTGCAGCAAAATGGACTTAGGTTCTAAACTCTTCTTTTTTTTTACAATTTCCATGACAAGTTCCACCTTGGTTAAAAAAGGTTAGGGTTTGTTTAGATTTAATTAAGTCATAAATTCTGCAACAGGGGCGGGGGATATAGCCACATTAGTGGCAAACTCTTGATTTACCTTGTCTTGACTTTTACTTATTGCTTATCTCATCTCTGTCCCGAAAGGTAGTGGACCCCTGAGTCACACATGCACACTGGAAGCACGTGACTAGGCCGATGACTCGTCACTCTCTCATTTTCATGCCAACTGAGAAGTTGGACACATTTTTCCTTGATTAGTTATCCTTTTTACATGTTTGAGAAATGACATTCTGTGAAAGTAAATATTTCTCATTGGTACTCACCAAATAATTTGTCACTTTTTGCGACATTTTTCAATTACTCTTAACAACTATAATGATCAAGTGGCTTTCCATTTACTATATTTCTTTGTATGCTACACAACTTTTGATAGGGATAATCAGATATGGCATTCTATTTTAATATACACTTGACGTATTATGAGAATAAGTGTTGTTTATCATGGAAAGATAAAAAATATCTCTATCAAAAGTAGTGTAGTATATATCATGTATATAGGTAGTTTGCCTACCGGCATGTCACGTTGCTTTGTTCTGCTGTGGACATGGTGATGCTGTGCCTGAGTGTGGTAGTTTACTGATACATGATCCACGTCCACAGATTCGCTCCAGTATGAACACTACCACAGGGTCGCTGAAGTCCAGCAAGATGAACATGACCAGCAGCATGAGCATCCCCATCTACTCCACGGAGTATGACGATGAGGTAGGTGTTGTCATAGTGACAGTGTGACCAGCAGCATGAGCATCCCCATCTACTCCACGGAGTATGACGATGAGGTAGGTGTTGTCATGGTGACAGTATGACCAGCAGCATGAACATCCCCATCTACTCCACAGAGTACGATGTTGTCATAGTAACGCTGTGACCAACAGCATGAGTAGCCCGCTCCAAAATGTGTATATGTTTGTGTTCCACAGCATGATATTGCATCACTCATTGACCCCTTCCTGTTTTCAGGATGAGAAGCCTACAAGGAGGCTCCTGGATGACACTCAGGATATTGGTGCTTTAGGCTATGAGGTGAGTAGGCCTTCAATGGAGCCTTCAAAGTTCGCTATTGTGACTTTAAGGTGTGGTCATATTAGAAATCTAATTTAACATGTTCAAGTTTAGTTTAAATAGTTAAATTACAGTCTTATTTCTTGGTTTTGTCAGGAATCCGATCCAGGGAGTGTGCAGGATCGAGCCCCCATCAAGATAGAGACAGACAGTGACAGTGATGACTACCAGAAGGATGTTGTGAGTAGCTGCTGCTGCTGCTGCTATAGTGTTATCTGCATTGTTATCATGAGTTGTGTGTGGTTCAGATATGTTTCAGAATTAGCAATATCATGAATTTCAATATATCATCACTCAAAAAAGTAAAACACCACCTTTTGATTTATCCTAATATGTACAATGTTCTAATCATGCTAATGATTGAGTGAGTGAGTGAGCATGGTTTTACGTCGCTTTTAGCAATATTTCAGCAATATCACGGCGGGGGACAATAGAAATGGGCTTCACAGATGGAACCCATGTCGGGAATCGAACCTGGGTCTTCGGCCTGACGAGCGAACGCTTTAACCTCTAGGCTCCCCGACTGCCCCTGCCCAATGATCTAACCACAACTTACTCTGTGGATGTCAGATTGTAGTTTTTATGTATTCAGCATGGAGTCAGCGTATAATTAGTACACATAAGGCTGCAGTACAATAAGTGTTAGAAAGTATTGAACATTTAAAGCATAGTGTTTTTCTTCTGCAGTAAGTACTTGGGGACAGTGGTGTGAACTGGTGTGGATGTTTGGTTGTGAGGCAGATGGGATGAAAATCTAATGGTTTATTATGGCCTTACTTCAAACCTATTTTATTAGTTTTAATTGGTTAATCTTGACTCACTCCCCTGTGGAGATTCCAGAGCTGAATGGATCATTGTTTGCAATATTCCATCTATATGATGGCGGTCTGTAAATAATCAAGTCTGGACCAGACGATCCAGTGATCGACATCATGAGGATCGATCCATGCAATTGGGATACGATGACATGCATCAGCCAAGTCAGGAACCTGACCACCTGAACTCATTGGTCACCTCTTACCACAAGCATTGTCGCCTCTTATGACAAGCATTGGTTGCTGAAGACCTATTCTATCCCGGATCCTCACAGTACAAATGGATCATTGTACTCCATGCTTGTCACAGGAGCCAACTCTAAAGAGGATCAGGTGGTCACAGTGTGTGGGCTGGCATATACTGTGGCATCTACTCCCTACCCATGGTGCTCAGTCCCTGACTCGATTACAGGCCGCCATGATATAACTGTATTATTGCTGACTGCGGCATACATATAATTCACTCACTCACTCTGGACATTTACCAATCCACTTCCTCTCCTCCAGGACTTCTTCATCAACAGCAAACTGAGTGAGCAGCTGATGGACATCGAGACGATGGACCCTGTGATGAGGGAGTCGCTAGAGAAGGTGAGACAAGCCTTCATCGGAAGGCTGGTACTTGTGTTAGTCAGTGATGGTGACAGGCCAAGGGAGATGATCCTTCCAGAAAATGTTTTCTCTGTGTCTGGGCACTTTTTGAAGATTAAGGTGCTATGACACGGCTTCATACTATCATCGTTCATAGATACATTTGTTGTAGAATGTCATGTCATGATTCTTAACTCTAAGTCAGGTTAATCTAACTACCTGGCACTTTTTGGAGACCCGGCACTTATATTGATTTAAGTTTAAGTTCAGACACAGTACGTAGTAGAGGCTAGTAAATATGAAGAGGCCCAGTGCTTATTTGACAGAAACTAATATCTTCATTTTTAGTTCTTAAACTGTTTATTAGTTTTGTTAGTACCCATATATCAGCTCATTTCTCATACGGATCAGAGTTAATCAGTGGCCATCCTTACATCTGTATTATACAAGACCTGGTCTTCCACTAACAGTTGTCTAAGAGCATGGTTGTACTGTAGACTGTCAGGATAAGGGCATCTCAATGATATTTAAACAGCCACAGCGTTAGAAATTGGCACTAGTCCTGTAGTCCTTACCAAACTGCCCAATAGTAAAGGTATCCTAAGGACTAGTAGAAATTGGCCCTTTTAAGGGTTTGGCGTTATCATTATAAGGATTAGTGGACAAAAACTGTTAGTTTTTAACCCTGCAGCCATCTGTCCATAACCCATGTGTATCACATACATACCTGCATGTATCAAGTAATCCCATTGTTGAGGCTCATTTAGAAAGCTTGCATTATATATTCCTGCCTACAGCAGTTTTCACCCTAGCTCATCATGGGACAAGCTTGTTAGACTGGATATTCTAATTTCACACATACTGTGAGTTACATGTGTCATTAGTGAGTTCATGGGATCTTATAAGCTGAATGGACTGTACACCAAGAGGCCGAAGATTGAGGGGTGTACACAAACATTCAGCTCATTAAATCTCATACATCTCGGTATTAACACCTGTTACAATTTTATCATTACGAGTTCACATGATACAGAGAATTAACATTTGTGTATGACATTAAGATCTATCTTGTCACCACTTGATACAGTAACTTAAATACAAGGCAGTGGTCACCCAAATGACATGTTTGGCATTTTAAAAGATTCCTCCTAGCCAATGGGGGCACCGTTCCACGAAGCCATCTTAGCGCTAAGGTGATCGTTATTCCCATACTTGTTATTAACACTGGCTTACCATAGTCATAGTGCTAAGATCGCTTAGTGGAACGGAGCCCTGGTGGCTAGATTATGTAACGAGTAATGATAAATCAGTTTTCCTTCCAGCTCATCAGGGAGTCTCAGTAGGGAGTTCATCTTCAGATGTTCATCTAGGTTGTGTGTTCACATGCTATATACTGTAATCAATGTCATTAGTGCACACCTCACCCTACTACCCTTGCACCCATGCTTTTCATGCTAATGCTGATTTGTACTGAATCCCTGCTAATTTTGTATTTGTCAAATATTTTCTCCACTGCAATAGCTGAATGACTATAGATCAGAGATTTTCTGATCAAGTGATCTGTACTTTAATGTACATTTAATGTAAAGTGACCCATTGTCGAAATGAGTGGAAACATTCGGTTACTGGTCTGGACCCACTTGATCAAAGGAATCTTAGTGCATCAACTCTTGTTGGTCTTATGTTAATATGTTAAGATTAAGATTGCTCTGAGCAAGTGGGCCCTGAAGCTATCTTTGACAAAGATGTGTTTTTAGTAATAATAAAGTAATTAAGTGAAAGAATATCATTCCTCAGCAACCTATACATGTCGTAAGATGGGACTTAATCAATAGGGTGGTCAGGCTCGGTGATCGTATCCCAATTGTTTGGATCATTACTCATGATTTCAATCACTAGATTGTCTGGTCAAAACTTGATTATTTACAGACTACTGTCAAAAAGCTGGAAAATTGACAAGTGCAGCATTAAACAAACAAACAAACAAACAAACAAACAAACAAACAAAACAGCCTGGTTTCAGACTATTATCATGATTATGCTGAGGTGCTAATTACGTTGATTGCAGTATGTATAGGACAGTTTCTGGTTGAACCTGTCTAGGTTATATTAGCATGTAGTATACTGACATATTCACTTTCTCAGTTGTATCCAGGAACAAGATACCAGGTACTGTGTGTCATGCTCTCTTGTCTCATCACCAGCACAATCTTATGGTTCGCAAACTTGGTTCTTGCAAGGCTAATTCAAACACATTCACCATCTTTGACAGTTTATTTTGATATGATTTGAAAGTGGATTAATCCTTCCAGGTTCATTTTTTTCTAGGATTAGGATTAACAGCACCCTTTCCCCTTTTGTTTAGGTATATTTATTTTTGTCTCACCCGACTTAAAGTCAAGTGAGTTCATGTCATTGCACATTGTCCCTCAGCCATCTGTCCGGTTGTCCGCACAGATTCTGATCTAATTTTTTTAATTTCTAATGATTTTTTTCCCACTGCTCCGCCATTTTTGCATGTGTCATTATCAAATTTGATAAGCAGCAAATATGTGCTATGCAGAAAAACTTTCTACACAAGTATGGATACGTATTTTTTAAGAATGGACAATTGTTTGTCAATTATGCATTAACTTGAACCAACATTTCAATTAATTTTCCCCTGGAATAGACAGACCTGTTTTTTTCTCTATAATTTGACAAGTGAATGGTTTCAAATTTTGTACAAGGAAAACGTGCATCACTAGAAGCATCAATCCCTGCTGTTACCCCTGCCCCAAGTGTCACAGCTAGCCCTCTCTACCGCTACAACTAGCTTACACATCTCATTCCTCAGCTTTGTGCTTCAAGAATGTAAACTCTGTTCCCAAGAATTATGAATTTTCACTTATGTTTATTAATTTATGGACTATAGCAAACATCAATATGCTCTGTAAGGGGTTGGTGGGAGGGAGTGAAGCAGGTGGTAGCCTAGTGGTTAAAGCATTCGCTCATCACGCCGAAGACCCGGGTTTGATTCCCCACATGGGTACAGTATGTGAAGACCATTTCTGGTGTCCCCCGGCGTGAATTTGCTGGAATATTGCTAAAAGCAGGTACTAGTGAATTGGTTTGTCACAAAGGGTGCTTCGATGTGGATTGTACTGGGACTATCTCGGACGACTAGAGTGGCAGAACTGATATACTGCTCAAGCCCCCCCCTCCAAACAGTATTGTTTCTTGTCTTTCGGTTTGGCAAAAAATGACACTTTTTTTCTTTGGCAAGCTCATTTCCTTAATTCATTAATACTGACCCGAACAATACCATCTTTGTGTTCTGTCGGTTTTTATTCTCCAGTATTAAAATGTCCTTTCACAGTCATTCATAAAAGTTCAGTAGAATGGTATCTACACTGCACTTGAAAAGTCCTAAAGGCCTCATAATCTCCCCAACCCTCAACACAGACACAACCTGCACAGACAGAGATGCATTGTGTGCCATGTGCAATTTGTACGTTCCCTTTTTGGAAAGCAGGTCAGAGTTACCTGCCCTTGCTTAAAAATCCCAGAAATAAATAAGACTGACAATAACTCCGTGTTCATTGATGTCAATCCAACTGATGCTGGCTGACCTTTCAGATCTTTGCAATAATAACCAATAAGGTGCATGAATACCCTTGAGTGTGTTTGGTTTGGTGGTGAGATGAACACTTGCACAGACTGCTGTGATTGCTTGAGGAGCACTTTAATGGAATGGATGAAAGCACAAAGGGTTGACATTAGATTAACAATTTAGCAACAGTGGGTTAACGTCATCTACATCATCCATCAATCCAATAATTTAGCAATGAGTGCTGAAGACTTGGTGATGGCTGGCAGCCCCTTAATATTTTAGTACAATAAATGTGCTACTTGGCTGTCAACTGTTTACATTTTGTCTTAATGCAGAATTAAAATAATGTTATATTTGGGTGTTTTAAATACTAATAAAGGTAACAGGGGCTGAGTCATATAGCTGGAACTGCCGAGTGCAATGCTAAACAAGAAACAATGAAAATTAGGATAACCTCAGCTACAGGGGTGTTTGTTTTGACATTTTGTTATACAGTTGTGAGGAAACAACTGTAAGTAATTTAGCACATTTTTGAAATACACATATTATGGGGCTGCCAGAATAATAACATTAATTCATCTGCTTCATGTGAGCTTGAGAATCATTGTCACATGCCAAGTGACTATATGGTAGGTGAGTAAGAAAACGTACAACTTTATGGATAACAACTTCTGGTTTATTGCATCTAGTGGCGTTTCGATGTAGATTTTTACACCGTTATCAAGCTCTTACTCACCAACTTCTAGAATGCCAATCAAACAGTTATATGGTAGGTGAGTCTTAGTGTAGTAACAGGTCAGGTTACCTTGTGGCACCACATTTTGTTATGCAGAGTTGCTTGCCTTAGCTATGTCCGGATCCACTGATGGTGGGATTGAATCTCCAATTATGATCCTTGGTTTGTCAGCACCATAACCTTATTCAAGCGGTCATTGATGACTGGGTACAGTGAATACCTAGCTTGCAAGATAAGAATGTCTGTATCAGAGATATTGCATGGTATTGCATGGCAAAATGAGAAGGAATTTGAGGGATCTATAAATGCAAGCTATTGTGTGAGCGAATTATTCATTTATTTCATAATCAGGAGTTTTTACCTATGTGAGTCTGCTTACATGGCATATTTCCCATGGTATGTTTTGGAAGTCAAGAAGTATGGAGCCTGTCTATGCAACATACCCATGATGGCAGACCCCATGCTGACAACCTGTTTCACCAGTAGATTGTATACTGAATAATTGATTTGTAGATAGACAGTCTAGTTTGCCATTTTTGTCAAACCTCTGTTAATGGTTATTGCACTTAGATGCTTTAAATCTGGAAGCCTTTTGGTTGTGCAAGATGGTGTCCTCTAAACCTTGAAGGTAAACTGACATGTTGGTGGAAGAAGTTGATATGTTCTCATGGCCAGGGAGTAACCCTTGCAACAGAATTATGACATTAAGAACAGGTGCTCTTTGAATTTTGAACTGGTAGTTCGATGCTGGTCAATATGTCACACAACATATCCCTAGGACATAGGTAGTGTGGGTAGAAAAATATGTGCATAGAATTCTTTCACAATTTGTTATGTTTGAATGTGCTGAAGATGATTTATTAGATAAAAAATGTGATCATATTTGACTGAGGTCTTCATAACATCATGCTGAAGAGGTGTGTGTAATGTTATTGTTGTTCATCAGGTGGTCTTCAGCAACCCATGCATGTCGTAAAAGGCAACTATGCTTGTCGTAAGAGGAGACTAACAGGATCGGGTGGTCAGGTTCGCAGACTTGGTTGATGCATGTTATCGTATCCCAATTGGGTGGATTGACGCTCATGATGTCTATCACTGGATTGTCTGGTCCAGACTCAATCATTGACCTTTCCATCGTATAGCTAGAATATTGCTGAGTGCGACGTTAAACAAACAAACAAAACGTACCCTGATGGTGTGGATTGCTATCAGATTTGATTATTCACAGGCCATGGTCATAAAGCTGGAGTATTGCTGAGTGTGGCTTTAACAATAAACAGCAAACAAACATAATGCTATTGTTGATCCTTGTTTGTCATGCTATTGTTGACCCTGCAGGACATCGAGCTGACATCGTCCCTCAAGTCCACGGCCAGAGAGAGTCCCCTGGAAGATGACAGGAAGAGGATGGCAGACATGGCAGCTTCGGCTGCAGACAGGTCAGTGTCACCCGTGTTTCCACAGCTCCAAAGCTCCATGGCTCCAAGTGTGGACTCTTTGTGTCCTGTGCCCAAGCATCACAAATAACTAGGACTGGGCATCAGTTAGTTAAAATTTGGCTGACTGTTTGACATGGTACTCTATTGGCATGGACCATCACTCCATCGGAGTTCATCCAAAACAAGTTTGTCAGTAACAAATATTGCTGACTGTCGATGTTAAAAAACATTCACTCACATACTACTGTGGGATGTACATCTGACTTTCCTTTCACTCTTATGAACCTGTGTGAGCTTATATAAGTTGGATTTTTGTCTGTTCAGTATTAAGAAAACGAACCACTTTATGGATAACAACTTCTGATTTATTGCATATAGCAACGTTTCGATGTAGAATTTTACACCGTTATCAAGCTGGAGTGGACTGGGTAACCTGACCTGTTACTACATTAAGACTCACCTACCATATAACTGTTTGATTGGCATTCTAGAAGTTGGTGAGTAAGAGCTTGATAATGGTGTAAAAATCTACATGGAAATGTCGCTAGATGCAATAAACCAGAAGTTTTTATCCATACAGTTGTACGTTTTCTTACTCACTCTCCAACTTCTTGAATGCCAATCAAACTGTTCAGTATGAATTTTCCATCAATTGCATAGCCCATTTTAAGGTTTGGGATGAGTCCAGTCTTGCTTGGCTGATGTTAGGCTGTTGTGGATATTATGGTATCCACATAATACCATATGGTCGTCTGGTAGTGGATGTTATGTGTCAGACAGCTGAAGTCATGCTATACTTGGTATCATGTGTCAGACAGCTGAAGTCATGCTATACTTGGTATTGTGTGTCAGACGTCTGAAGTCATGCTATACTTGATATTGTGTGTCAGATGTCTGAAGTCATGCTATACTTGGTATTGTGTGTCAGATGTCTGAAGTCATGCTATACTTGGTATCATGTGTCAGACGTCTGAAGTCATGCTGTACTTGGTATTGTGTGTCAGATGTCTGAAGTCATGCTATACTTGGTATCATGTGTCAGACGTCTGAAGTCATGCTGTACTTGGTATTGTGTGTCAGACGTCTGAAGTCATGCTATGCTTGGTATTGTGTGTCAAACCTCTGAAGTCATGCTATACTTGGTATCATATGTCAGACATCTGAAGTCATGCAATACTTGGTATTGTGTGTCAGACGTCTGAAGTCATGCAATACTTGGTATCATGTGTCAGAAGTCTGAAGTCATGCTATACTTGGTATCATGTGTCAGAAGTCTGAAGTCATGTTGTACTTGGTATTGTGTGTCAGACGTCTGAAGTCATGCTATACTTGGTATTGTGTGCCAGACAGCTGAAGTCATGCTATACTTGGTATTGTGTGTCAGACGTCTGAAGTCATGTTGTACTTGGTATTGTGTGTCAGACGTCTGAAGTCATGCTATGCTTGGTATTGTGTGTCAGATGTCTGAAGTCATGTTGTACTTGGTATTGTGTGTCAGACGTCTGAAGTCATGTTGTACTTGGTATTGTGTGTCAGACGTCTGAAGTTATGCTATACTTGGTATCATGTGTCAGACGTCTGAAGTCATGTTGTACTTGGTATTGTGTGTCAGACGTCTGAAGTCATGCTGTACTTGGTATTGTGTGTCAGACGTCTGAAGTCATGCTGTACTTGGTATCGTGTGTCAGACGTCTGAAGTCATGCTGTACTTGGTATTGTGTGTCAGACGTCTGAAGTCATGCTATGCTTGGTATTGTGTGTCAAACCTCTGAAGTCATGCTATACTTGGTATCATGTGTCAGACATCTGAAGTCATACAATACTTGGTATTGTGTGTCAGACGTCTGAAGTCATGCAATACTTGGTATCATGTGTCAGAAGTCTGAAGTCATGCTATACTTAGTATCATGTGTCAGAAGTCTGAAGTCATGTTGTACTTGGTATTGTGTGTCAGACGTCTGAAGTCATGCTATACTTGGTATTGTGTGTCAGACGTCTGAAGTCATGCTATACTTGGTATTGTGTGCCAGACAGCTGAAGTCATGCTATACTTGGTATTGTGTGTCAGACGTCTGAAGTCATGTTGTACTTGGTATTGTGTGTCAGACGTCTGAAGTCATGCTATGCTTGGTATTGTGTGTCAGATGTCTGAAGTCATGTTGTACTTGGTATTGTGTGTCAGATGTCTGAAGTCATGTTGTACTTGGTATTGTGTGTCAGACGTCTGAAGTTATGCTATACTTGGTATCATGTGTCAGACGTCTGAAGTCATGTTGTACTTGGTATTGTGTGTCAGACGTCTGAAGTCATGCTGTACTTGGTATCATGTGTCAGACGTCTGAAGTCATGCTGTACTTGGTATTGTGTGTCAGAAGTCTGAAGTCATGTTGTACTTGGTATTGTGTGTCAGACGTCTGAAGTCATGCTGTACTTGGTATTGTGTGTCAGACGTCTGAAGTCATGCTGTACTTGGTATTGTGTGTCAGACGTCTGAAGTCATGCTGTACTTGGTATTGTCAGACGTCTGGTCAAGGATGAGGAGCAGAAGGTGCAGACGGCCAATGACCGGGCTGTCAGTGACATGAAGCGACGCATGGAGAAGGAGCTCGAGAACGCCAAGCTGGAGCTCTTAGAGGTAAGTCACTGGGGAGGAGGTCACAGAGACCTCGGCACCTCACACAATGCATAGATCGGCTTTACTTAATCACTATGGGGAAAGAGTTGGTCAGGATGATAAGCTGATTCATTTTACATTACATATTCACCATATTTGGGTAGTTGGGTGGTTAAGGCACTGGCACTACACACCTGCTTCGATTCCTCACATGGGTTCAATGTTTGAAGCCCATATAAGGTGTATCTGACCATGATAAGGCTGGAATATTGCTAACTACAGTGCAGAACCTTACTCTTTCATGATGTCCCAAACACCTGTTTTCATTTAAGAAATAAACAACGAGTGGGAGTTGTTTATCGTACAATGAAACACTGCAGGAAGAATAAACCATTATGGGCACTCACTCACCTCACTCACTCACTCACTCACACACTCACTCACTCACTCACTCACTCACTCACTCACTCACTCACTCACTCACTCACTCACTCACTCACTCACTCACTCACTCAAGACAAGCAACTGTATAGTGTGCGGTCTGTTGTAGGACAAGGATTCTCGGCTGCGGAAGCTGAAGGCGGAGATCCGGCGGGAGCAGGAAGAGGAGGAGAGGAAGCTGAGAGATGAGAAGGAGGAGAGCATCAAGTGAGTTGGCCCTCATCACATAGACGACACGAGCGTCTTCTGGTTCGATGTCACTAGATAGGCTAGCACCAAGTAGATCATGTAGACCAGCTGTAGCAAGGAGTGTTCATCATGTGTTTAAACAGTAATACTGTAGCTTGGTTAATGGTAAATGGTTGGTATAATTTCCTGATTCTTTTAAGGATTAGCTGTTAATACATTATTACATTTGTTTATTATTTCTAATTATTTGGTTGATTTAGTACTATTACTTCATAATGGTAAAGGATATTGAAATTGTTATTGACTGTAGATTGTGTGTGAAAATATTTTGTTTGCTGTTTTCTTCAATTGATGTGCTAGAGTAATACTGACACTAGAGGCTCTTAGTTTTAGAGATTTTCACTCCAGAAGATAGTTTTAGAGATTTTCACTCCTGGAGATTAGAACGCCTAGGCCTGAAGTGTGTAATTTAATCTCAAGTAGTGAATCATGTCACAGTGACTACGAATAGACCCACACAACATGCAGTTTATGACTTCTTCTTGATAGAATGACCTTCATGTACTGTTACTTCAACATGTTCAAGGTATAAACCCACACATCTCCGTCAGTCATTAGCTTTCTTTTGATGTGCCATTGCATTTCGGAACATATTTTAGCATGTTGGGTTGTTTTCAATTCCATTTTTATCTGAATGAAAATGTTGATACCAGACAAACTTCTAAACTGATACTAATATTTGTGAGACGCCCAAGTAAAATATTACACATTTATCTATAATGAAATTTGATAAGAGAAAAAAACCACCAAGTCAAGATCTAAAAAAGAAAAAACAAAATGAGATTTGACCAAAAGGTTTTGTCAAATACTGCATCTGTTAAGACTCAACAAGATCAATGTTTGCTAGAAATTCATAATAGCTGGAATATCGCTAAAAGCGGCGTAAAACCATACTCACCCACTCATAATATAGTGTACCATCCATGCATCCTAAGTCTCCATGATGTAATACTGGCTAGTGAGAAGTGGGCTTGTACCTGACATTAGTGTTACTGTCATCATATGGGCGCCCCCTACACTCATGTGCTTCTCTCTCACTGCCGCGGCGGCCATGTTAGACTGGCCGAGTCGAGGTTGCAGGCGCAGGCTGAGCAGGAGCGGGAAGACCTCAAGGATGCGCGAGAGAGTGACCTCAGTAAACTCAGGGAAGAGTGCGAGAGAAAGAAGCAAGACGAGGAAAAGAAACTGCGGTAGGCCAGCATGCAGGAGAAGGGCGGACGTTTCATGCCTCGCACATAAAGATTCCCTCCATCTTTCATTTCCCACTCGTTCATTGGTGGTTGGGTTCCATTCCCTTTTACTTTCTGTTTTGTCTGATTGGTTTTTGTTTTGTTGCTTCAAGTCATTTCTTTGCTTTTTTGTTCTGACTACATGTGCTTTGAATTTGTTGATAACACATTTTAAGTGTTAACCTCAGAAATTGCACTCTATGATGCTAACATACATGTTTATGTTCTTTTTGGGTGTTTATGTGATTTTCTTTATTGTTTGTGTGTGAGTATTGTGTCTTTTGTTCTTATTTTTGTTTTCTAATTTATTTATTTTTTGCTTCACACTTTGACGTTTTTTGTGCACCTTGTTTTCATCATTGTTTGTACTATTACTCAATATTTTGCTTTTGAACCACTTCAGGTTCTACCTGAATATTCAGAAACAGAAACATGAATAACTTCAAGTAATTCTCTACCCAGCTTATAGGTTTGCTGTATCTGAGACTTACAAGTCCATCTTACTTTCATGATAAGTCAGTACTCATAGAGTCTGCCCATCAGCCAGAGACAAGATAATTTTCATAAAACCTCATACATAATCTTAACATTGACCTTTTTTGTGTTAGCATATCAGAATTGGCTTTCTTTCCTGACAAGCTCACAATACTGATATTGGTGGTTGTAAACTTCAAAACGATTTCGGGAATGTGGGCGATAACCAAAGGTCTCAATCGTTTCCGACTAAGCCTGACTATTGCAGTAGTGATGGTACAAGTGTAGGGTCTTGCCGCGATGCCAGCCATGTTGTGTGGAGGACGAGTTGTTAAGTGTTGCTCTAATGCAGGGAGGAGATGCAGCTCGCCCTGCAGCGACTCCGCGAGGAGGTGAAGTCACTACAGGCGGAGGAACAGGACAAGCTAGAGGAGGAGAAGGCAAAGGCCCTCGACAAACTTCACTCACAGGTAAGCTTGTTTCGGGTAGATTTGAAGAATATTCATTTCTAGGATTTCTGATCGAAATCTTATGTTTACAAATTTGGCTGTTGTGAATGACATATGGCTGTTGTGAATGACTGTTGACTTGATCTGTGTGCAAAGCCTGCTTGTTTCTCTCATACTGTTTCATGAAAGGCTACCATTGTCATACGAATTGTAAAAGACTTAATGAGGGGTTGGGGGGCAGGCAGGCAGGTTGTTACCCAGGTATCCAAGGTGCTGAAAATGACTTGCAGAGTTAAGTCATGCCAGAATCTGATGATCGCAGGTTCAAATCCCAGACTTGCCACAGGTATGATTCCTAGTTTGTCAGCACCATGCTTGTGCGCTTCACCAAGGTGGACAACATGTAGGACCTTCTAGAGAATGTGAATCTCTTTCTTACCCACATTAAGTTGGACTCATATTGTGGTATTATTGAAATACTTTTCGAAGCAGCATTAATACCAAATTCAGTCACTCTAACAATGTAAGAATAAGGATTATTAACTCTATAGATTAGAGCGTATTTCAGATGAGGATTTAGCAGAGCACTTGTTCTGTTTTATGTCAGAAAGTGTAGTCACAGTATGGAGATATATATTCACCGACAATAGAAACGCTAAAACCGTACATGTTGGTAAATAAATAAAGAATTACTCATATTCAAGAGATGTTAGATTGGTTCGACACACAAACGAACATACTGGTATGGTGTGTGAATAGATGCTCATGAACACATTGCATGTGACATCATAGATCCATTACTGGAGATGCACCATGTGTCTCGTGCAGGATTAGTGTGTAAAGTTTGGAAGTCACGTGCAGCATATCGTGATAAGAGTAAAGACACTCTGTGGTAGCACTTGACTGGTTGTTAGTTTTGTCATTAATTGGTACACATTGGAAACATCTCTTCTTAACGTACATACTCTACGATTTTCTATGGTTCGCGTTTCTTTTGGCGGTGAGTGTACATGTGCAGTATCGCGCTGCTTCCAGGTGGATGTTGCATTGTCCAGTGAGAGGGAGAAGCTGGAGGCAGAGCGCAACAGGAAGATGGAGAAGTTGAGGTCAAGGCAGGCCCAGGAACTGGAGGACCTAGAGGACGAGCTGGAGAGGAAGCACAAGGCCAAGGTCGATGACCTCAGGTCCGACCTGCAGGAGAAACATTCAAAGGTGGGTAGTGAGTGAATGTGTGTCTTGACCCCTTGTCTATGACTATGACCCTGCTTGTGACTTGTTTAACACGTGAATCATTGGTTACAAGATAAGAAGTTTCATTTGCAGTGAAATAGTTCTGTGTGACAACCATATTGTGTCCTGTCAATGGTCTCTCTCTGAATGACATCACACCACATCAGTAACAGTCAGAGGTTACAATTAAGCATGAAAATTAACCACTTCTTGTCAATGTTACAACTTCAAGATGAGGAAATTGAAAAAGAATTGAAATACTATAGCAGAAAATCTTGACTATCAAAGGACTCGCCTTAATTTGCAACTGATAATGACATGATTCTAGACATTGAGCTGAATTGCTTGGATTTATAAAGTCAGCATCTGGTCAGATATGTTGATATTGTGATGAATATTGGGGACTATTGATGCAGGCGATGCGTGAGATGCAGATGGAGGTGAAGCGGCTCCAGGCGGAGCAGAGCGAGCAGCAGGAGCAGGAGCTGGAGGTGGCCCAGAAGAGGCAGAGAACCATCAACGACATGGAGAAAGGGGTCAGTAGTCAATTACACCTAACCATGCGCTTATCATCCGGAAGTTTTGTGTTGTTGGGAGTGTGGTTCTGCCTCCAGTGAGAAGTGTGTTGTTAAGAGCGTGGAACTGCCACCAGTTAGTAGTGTGTTGTTAAGAGCATGGAACTGCCACCAGTTAGTAGTGTGTTGTTGAGAGTGTGGCACTGCCACCAGTTAGTATAGTGTTGTTGGGGGTGTGGTTCTGCCACCAGTTAGTAGTGTGTTGTTGAGAGTGTGACACTCCCACCAGTTAGTATAGTGTTGTTGAGAGTGTGGCACTGCCACCAGTCAGGAGTGTGTTGTTGAGAGTGTGACACTGCCACCAGTTAGTATAGTGTTGTTGAGAGTGTGACACTGCCTCCTGTTAGTAGTGTGTTGTTGAGAGTGTGGCACTGCCACCAGTTAGTAGTGTGTTGTTGGGGGTGTGGTTCTGCCTCCAGTTAGTAGTGTGTTGTTGAGAGTGTGACACTGCAACCAGTTAGTAGTGTGTTGTTGGGGGTGTGGTTCTGCCTCCAGTTAGTAGTGTGTTGTTGAGAGTGTGACACTGCTACCAGTTAGTAGTGTGTTGTTGAGAGTGTGACACTGCCACCAGTTAGTAGTGTGTTGTTGAGAGTGTGGCTCTGCCTCCAGTTAGCATAGTGTTGTTGAGAGTGTGGCACTGCCACCAGTTAGTAGTGTGTTGTTGAGAGTGTGGCACTGCCACCAGTTAGTAGTGTGTTGTTGAGAGTGTGACACTGCAACCAGTTAGTAGTGTGTTGTTGAGATTGTGGCACTGCCACCAGTTAGTAGTGTGTTGTTGAGAGTGTGACACTGCCTCCAGTTAGTAGTGTGTTGTTGAGAGTGTGACACTGCCTCCAGTTAGTAGTGTGTTGTTGAGAGTGTGGCACTGCCTCCTGTTAGTAGTGTGTTGTTGAGAGTGTGGCACTGCCACCAGTTAGTTGTGTGTTGTTGAGAGTGTGGCACTGCCACCAGTTAGTATAGTGTTGTTTGGAGTGTGGCACTGCCACCAGTTAGTAGTGTGTTGTTGAGAGTGTGACACTGCCTCCAGTTAGTTGTGTGTTGTTGAGAGTGTGGCACTGCCGCCAGTTAGCATAGTGTTGTTTGGAGTGTGGCACTGCCACCAGTTAGTAGTGTGTTGTTGAGAGTGTGACACTGCCTCCAGTTAGTTGTGTGTTGTTTGGAGTGTGACACTGCCACCAGTTAGTAGTGTGTTGTTGAGAGTGTGACACTGCCTCCAGTTAGTTGTGTGTTGTTGAGAGTGTGGCACTGCCTCCAGTTAGTAGTGTGTTGTTGAGAGTGTGGCACTGCCACCAGTTAGTATAGTGTTGTTTGGAGTGTGACACTGCCACCAGTTAGTAGTGTGTTGTTGAGAGTGTGGCTCTGCCACCAGTTAGTCCTGTGTTATTGAGAGTGTGACTCTGCTTGCAGCTGGACGAGGTTCTGGCAGAGAGGAGGCAGGAAATGAAGGAGGACCAGAAGAAGAGAATGGAGAAGTTGAGGAAGGACCACGAGGAAGAGCTGAGGAAGATGCAGGAGGAATACAGGAACACGGTACATAGATAGACATGATTGTTATTGGCTCACTGGTAGACTGCAACCACTGATGGATGTCTTTGTTATCCCAATAGGGTAACGGGGTCAATAGGGCCCCGTATTGACATCATTTGTCAAAACGTCATTTTGTCATTTTTCAGTAGATTCGGGCCAATAACATTTTCCTCGGGCCAATGTGACTGACCTTGGACTTTTAACAAGGCGAATGTTAAAACACACATATAATAACATAATAATTTGACAGTATCTAGGTCATCAGACTATCACTGAATTACCCCCAGGTTGCAGGTAAAACTTGTACCAGGAACTCCGTCTTATTGTGTGCTCCAGTGAATATGTCAGTGTAAAAACTATTGTAAATGATGAGTTTCTTGTGATGAGTATGTTGTTTGCGATCCTGCTAAAGATTACCAAGGAACAGAGGAACCTGACCAGCACCTTTGAGGCTGAGAAAAGGAGGCTTGAGAAGCAGCACAGCCAGGAGATGGAGAGTCTGAAGCGTCAGTGTGCCCGCAAGAGAGAGAGCCTGCAGGAACAGCTGGAGGATGAGGTGAGGGATGTGCTGTAGAAACCTTGTTCCCGTCATCCTGTAGGTCACTGTGTATCCTTGGTTCTTTTGTGCCCCAGTATCGAGGCTTGTAATCAGAGGCTGACTGTGCATCCAAGTACCCTGATCTTTGCTCTTGTTATATGCCACTGTTTTGCCTGGTTACACAAACCTATTATACGAACCAACTTCAATAAGTTTTTTCTCTTGTACAATTTCCTGGAGAAAACAGTTCAATAGATACTATAAAGTTGACACTGCATTGCCACATAACATTGAATCAGCTTCAATAAGTATTTTGTATTGTACAATTTTCCTGAGATCTTTGAAGAGAACTGTTCTATAGATGCTATAAAGTTGGCGCTAAAAGTTGTAGCAGGATCACTCGTTAGGTTTTATGCTACTCGCCACTGCCTACAATGAATTTATGTTACCAACATATTTTAATATGACATTGTAAAACAATTAAAACAAATTCAAAATTCACTACAGCTGTTTGATTGAGCTGGGGTAAACTTGTGCTATGTCACATGACCTCCATTGACTCGACAAAAGTGTGGGTCTTTTTGCTTTATAGCTGGGTATAATGGATTTATTCTGCCTCTCAGAAAAACACATGCAGCCGACTTGCTCGTAGCGGGGAATAAAGGATTTATTCCCCCGCTGAGAAATTTATTTCCCTCCTAGGTGGGATATATACTATTTTTTGAAGATCAGGTGGACCAATCAGATCTCATCATTCTGACATGGAGGTATGATAATGTATTTCACCCGATGCTGTACATGTTGATACAATCTTGCTGAATCTTGCTGGATATTTCAATATATATTTGTACTACAGGAAGAAGAAATTCGGGAGAAGAGTGCAGATTTAGAGAGGAAGAAAAAGGACATTGAGAAGAGTTTTAAGAATCTGGACATTGAAGTAAGTATTATATGTTAAAAAACTTGATTCACAGCATAATGATAATATCATAGTGTTATCATGTTACACATTTTGGTAACATGTCCAATAATTTGACAAAATAAATGAGAAATATGTTCAAACTAATGATAATGTGATAATACGTTTTTCAAAGTGTTATTCTGTTAATATGTTACACTTTTTTGTAGTAATCTAATCAAGCTAATAATTTGACCAAATTGTATGTGAAAGATTTTCAAGCTGGTGATGCTGTGTAATAATCATTTTGTTAGTTATTGTTGAAAAAGAAAATTATGATATATTTTGTGACACACGGAATGTGACCGAAACGTCATTGAAACAAGCTATTGCTTGGATGTCCACCAGGAGCAGAGGCTAGACGACAGGAGGGAGAAGTTCCGGGAGGATCAGAACAAGTTAGACCAGCAGCAAGATGTGAGTGGAGACGCTTGTCATTTTGTAGCAGAAAGGCTGAATGAATGATGCACTTGTGCAGAACTGTGTCAAGGTTCTACAAAAAAATGCATGATGGCTTCATTTTGTATTGCTACACACTGTTTCACCGATCTTGCTTATTGTTTTACATACCTTGAAACTAGGAGTTGTCTTGTCATATCTATTCCATTAATAGATTGTCTTAAAATAACAGGGTGGTGGGGTAGCCTAATGGTTAAAGTGTTTGCTCATCATGCTGAAGCCCCGGGTTCGATTCCCCAAATGAGTGCTATGTGTAAAGCCCATTTCTAGTGTCCCCTGACGTGATGTTGCTGGAATATTGCTAAAAGCAGCGTAAAACCATACTCGCACATTCTTAAAATAGCTTGTACCATATTTGCCATATGAGCACCCTGCTATAATAAACTTCTACTGACCAACTATCAGACCAATCTGTAATCTTTGTAAGCTCCCCCTACTTAGACCAAACATTTACATGAACATGACTTTTTTCTGTGTGTATATTACAGATCTTTTACAAAAAACAGCAGCGTGCAAAGGTTATATTATTGCCTAGTAACTTTCAACTAATTTTGTTCACTACTGCTCGATCTGTGTATACGAATGTAACTCATATTTGTGGTTTTGATAAGAGCCTATGGGATTTGGGATATATTTTTAGGGTCATTTAAGCATGGAATAGACAGATATTGTGACACTACAATTTCAGGATGCTTTTGGGAACCGAGCCCAGTCTCTGACAAGTCATGAGTTGGAGAGGATGAGGGAAGAGAGGAAGCAGCTTCAAGAAGAGATCCGGATGGCGAGAACAGATGTTGAGGCTTTCAAGAAGGACAAGAGGATACTGGAGGGGGATGTCCTGAAGCTGAAAATGACGCGGGACCAGAACACGCGCAAACTCAAGTAAGTTTTCTCTAAATAATCATATCGAAAATGGTTCCTTGCACTGTGCGGTATGCTGTTATTTCAATATGAAAGAATACATGTTGCTTTTCTTGGTGGGATGTAAGATGTAAACTGTTTCTCAGGCAGTGACTTATTGGGCAGGCAGAATCTTGCTTTGGTATAAACTATCTAGATAGTTTTATCTTGAAGCAGATAATGTTGCTGATGCAGACTGTGTCTCATATAGGTCCTAAACAAGTATGACACATTGTTCTTTGCTGCTTTGTTTTGACTTCAGGATTGTTAAACTCACCCCACTGTGTCACGAGAGGGAGTTAACGATGCATTGCATCTTCCCGAGGCAAGGGAGTTAACTGACTATAAATGTCCAGTTTCCACCCTTGCCGAATAGGGCTGGTATTGTGGGAGTTAAATTTTGGCTTGACTAGTGAGTCTGTCTATAGTTGAATCAAAATCGCGTAACGAATTTGACATTGGGTTCATAAACTTTAGTGCAGATTTCGGACAATTGCAGAATTTGCAGAGCATGTGTACCGTAACCTGATAGTTTCCAAATCTTTTCATGTTGTTTATCAAGGTGCTTAAATGGTTTGATGCATTTTGCGAATTAAGAGCCATTTTATTACAATAAATATCATGATCATCGATCAGATCATTTTGACTAGGTGCTGTCACTTTGTTTGAAGCAAATGCAAATGCAAGTGCAAGTAGGAGGGACATAGAAGGGCGCAATGATCGAGCCACGGAATTCCAGCCTAGGTCAGCAAGGTTGGAAACTTGACTTTTATGGTCAGTTAACTCCCTTGCCTCAGGAAGATGGTTGCATTGATGCTACTATGTCTCTTTGTCAGTGAACTGAAGGAGAAGTTGGACAAGAAGACCCAGGAACTGGAAAAACTGCATCTCCGCATCAATGAGGCCATCGAGGAAAACGAAACTGCTGGCCGGCAGCTCTTGCACAGTACCACCCGAGTGGCTGACCAGACAGCTGGACGACTGTCCATGGATGACCTCCACCACACAGACAGGAGGGCCAGCAACCCTCTGCTCAGTGAGGAGGACGACTCCTCTATACAAGGTGAGGTTAAGGAACAAAACTAGGCTTGGGTCCCCCCCCTTGATATTTGATATTGCTTTATAAGTGTTTTGTATTAAGATTCTATTACCATTAGGAATTGGTCTGTAGTGCCCACTGCTTGTTGTACAAGCTGATTTACAGATTATTATTTGTGACTGAGAAAGTGATTTTAATTAAATACTGCAGTCAGCAAAATTACATCTACACGGATTGCACATTGCTGGCATCTCTGATATTGTTCCTACTTCAGACTAGGCTGTGACTCCTCATACAGTTTGCTCAATAGACACACATAGAAAGCGTAATAAACCAAGCAACGTTTTTCTTTCCATCAGTGCCTATACCTGGCTCAAAGAAGAAGAGCGTGAGGATGACAGATGAAGCTGAGATGGTATGTGTCTTGGCACATAGATAGGTCTAGTGGTGAACTGGTGCCTTTTGATAGTTTGGGATTTTAAAAAAAAATTGTTTTTGAGTTTCCATTGTAACGACATTGACTAAGACTGAAAATGGTGAATATTGCAAGGTGTGATATTTTGAAATATGTAGATACAAACATGTAAGGGGGGATGTTGGGCTCTGAACACTGGTTAAAGGAAGCCGTTGAGCTGTTCTCAGAGGCGTGAAGACCTGAAATATCATGTGACCTGGTTATGTCACAATGGAATTCCGTTTTGTCTGAAGACAGGTGTTTTGTTTTGAACTTGTTGTGCAGATACTTACTGGGTAGAAACCCTAGTGATGATTTTTTTAGCCCAAAGTGTCTTATTCTAACTTTGATTGGTCTGATTCTGGGCATGGTTGATGTTGCAGATCTCTGCGAGTGTGTTGGACATGTTGTCTGATGATGAACCAGAGTCTTTCGTGACAGGCACCTTCAGCAGGTAGGTGAAGCATGTGGCACTGTACATCAAGTTCCTCCTGTGGTGTAGCTTGATAAGCCCTGATGTCAGCACCATGCCCATCCTCGTAGCAGGATATAAATGGGGTACCCCATGGGCATTCCGGACTAGAATAGGTCCCCAGTAACTTTGCTGGTCTAAAAAGGCAATTTGATGGATCTTGTTGTCAGACTTAGTGACTTGGTTGATAGCGTGTCACGACGACATGGATTGTCGCCCATAGTATCATAGTATCATAGTATCATAGTATCAGAGTATCAGGTTTCTATCTGGTTTTATCCAGAATTAATTATTTACAGGCTTCCATCATATAATCAGTTGCTGGAATATTGCCAAGTGCGATGTTACATAACAAATAAACAAACAAGTGAAATATGGTGTCTATGACCTTCAACACTGTGATGTTACTGAAATATTTTCGGGGCAATATTGAACACCAGGATAATTAGCATTAAGGGGCTAAAACAAGGACTGGTCGGCTCGGAGTCAGTATCTGTGTCTGAGTGGGGTATTCATGTTAAACTGCGGAATTATATCTCAGTGGGATAGCACTATTAATCAGCATCAATCCAGACTTGTACAAGCCACACACATCATACACATGCATGCACCTTGCTGTATGAGTGCAATTATCTTGGACACAATGTTAAACCCCATTTTACATCACTTTAACAAAATTGCTTTTTGGCTTGTGCCACTTGCTGATTGATTTTGCAAATGGACAATACCCCAGATGATATCTATGGTTCTTTTCTGTGATGTCTGAATCCTGTGATTTGTCTCATGCAGAGTGTTACGAGATCACCTCAAGAAGGAGAGTTCATCCATTGGCCTGGCTAAGACCTTCCTCCGTAAACAGCGGCAGTCTCTGAAGCGGCGCCAGGCAGCCCTGACAGCAGCCAAACAGGAACTGACGCGAGACATGAGTCTAGCTCAACAAGGGGTGGGTTGTTGTTGATGAGGGTGGCACATACTGTTCCAGTCCTCAAAACTCCAGTCAGTGTGTTCCAAACTCAACAAGATAGGCTTCATGGTTGGATGAGTATTTCTTGGGTCTGCCATGTCCTGAAGACCATGGAAGAACTGTAATTATCTTATACAAACTCCAGAATTTCTTGAGCATTGATTGTTACAAAGTAGAACCCATTTTGATATTTCATAGGAGTACAGTCTTCTTCTGTGATAGGGCTTGATCATTCCTAAATGCATACCCACACATGTATCTCATGCTAGAGTGTCAAGCCTGACAAATGTCTGATGAAAAGAGTTGGGTGGTGGACATGGTGGTAGGGTCAGAGGGTAGGATGGTTGGGTACAGAGCAGGATTATAGGTGGGATAAAGGGTAGTAGAATGGCTGTTAGAGTTGTAGGTATGTGGGCTGGTGGGTATGTGGAATGGTGGTTTGGATGATGGGTAAGTGGAATGGTGGGTGGGATGGTGGGTAGGTGGAATGGTAGATGGGTGGGATGATAGGTGGGATGGTGGGTCAGATGATGGGTTGGTAGAATGATGGGTAAGGAATGGTGGGTGTATAGAATGGTGGGTTTGTTGGTGGTAGGTAGAATGGTGGATAGTGGAATGGTAGGTGGGATGGTGGGTAGGTATAGAATGGTTGGTCAGATGGTAGAACTGTGGGTCAGATGGTAGAACTGTGGGTCAGATGGTAGAACTGTGGGTCAGATGGTAGAACTGTGGGTCAGATGGTAGAACTGTGGGTCAGATGGTAGAATGGTAGGTAGGCAGGTAGAGTGGAGGGTGGGATGCCAGAGGGGAAAGCTCAGCTTGTTATGATGACACTGTTCCTCCACAGCCTCTGCCGGATGACAGTGCGAGGCTGCTGGATGATGTGAGGTCCAGTCTGGAGATGGAGGCCCTCAAGCTGGATCAGATGGAGGTGCAGATGGCCGCTGGGTCCAGACTCGTCCGCGAGAAGGAGCTCAAGATAAGGCAACTAGAGAACTGCAATGTGAGCAATATATACACGATTCACGGGTTTCTGTTCCTGGTTGTGTCCCTTAACTATTGATGGCTAAGTTCACACATCGTGTGAGCTTGTCTGTGCTAGAATCTGTGTTACATTATTTTCATTTGTTTTCTGTATATATTTGATGATGAAGAGACGACCTAGAATTCGAACTGAATGAAATGTCCCGAACATGACTTTTAAGAAACAACATTTGGCAAAACTATTGGTTTTCGAGAAGGGAGCTGACTCTAACTCTTGTCTACTCGAAAGTTTGAGGTGGGCTGACATTCGAAACTAAATGCACTTGTAAATTATAAATACAACATTAAAAAAACGTATTATTAATCACTCTTTTGTCTACTTTGAAATAAGTATTGTGACTTTTGATTGGATGTACATCGCGTAGAAACTACATCAACACATTTCTATGAACAACACAAAACTAGGTTGTGGGGTCATTAATATTCATGAGTTATTCCTTTTATGGAAGAAGTTCCTGGAAAAGTTTGAGGTCATAGGCTTGTATCATGTCCAAGTTTGAGGTCATAGGCTTGTATCATGTCCAAGTTTGATTCAAGTGGAGACATTATTTGCAGGTTCATATCGTCACCGACATTTATGATTAGATTGATGTGTTATATTGGAAAAAGCAGTTTGAGTGCTGTTGCCTATCTAAATTTAATTTTGAAGTAAGTTTTTTGCATTGTAACTACCGGTATTTTTGTAAAACTCTGTTATGGAACGACAGTGATCAGTCGATGACGTTAATTAAACTTCATAGACTTTGTGTACCTATCGTAGAACTAACATCACACTAAATATTTTATGAAGACATTTCCTATCACACTCGCTCGGCCAATACATGAATTCTGGCACTATTTCATAAAATCAGTATAATACACATGCTCGTATATGCTTGTGTTCCAGGTGAGCGACAGTGAGACAGAGTACACTCCCTTTGAACACCGCTACAAACCTATGAGTCTTCCATCCCTCGACATCAGCGATGATGACGAGAGCAGCGGCATCAGCAGCACTGACTACAACCTCGACAACTTCATTCAGGGTAGGATATTTTCACCAGAATTAGACAGAGTATTATAAGACGAGATTTCCACATCTCCACTAGTTGTTATGTGACACAGTGAGGATGTTGTGGCAAGGTTTTAACTGGGCATTGTATCGAAATGATTTGCAGCGGATGACATTTTCAGAATTTCAGAAACACTTTCAGGTACCTGGCTAGCCATGTCCTTGTTCCACAAAGTAGTTGTATTGCTTTGGCTGTCATAAGTCTATGTTAAAGTATGGGAGTTACGACAGACTTAGCCCTACTATCGCATTGTTGAACAAGGCCTTGACTAGTAGCTTGCCCATGTTGGAAGTTATATAGACATGTAAAATTTGACATGAACGGTTTTCAATACTTTTAGTTATCTAGGTATCAGTCACAAAGTAGGCATAATTTATGGATAACAACTTCTTTATTGTGCTGTTCAAGGATCCTTATACCATTGCCAAGTCAGACTGAATAATGTACATGGTACCGAATACAGTCAAGTCTCGTTAATCCGACGCTCGTTAATCCGACAAACGGTTTTATCCGACACTAATGATGGGAACCGATTAAATCAGTGCTATTTAGACCCCTTAATCCAACAGTCTTGTACTCTGACTCCGACGCACCTAATTTGCAACGAATTACCGAAATCACTCATCAGTCTCGTTAATCCGACACAGTGATCAGCATCCTCCGTGGTCATCTGTCTGCGAGTACACAGCCCAGTGTTTTGAAGCGAGACAAGTCGGCTGGTAGCTGCAGAGATAAACTTGCTTAACAATAAACAATTACTGCTTTAAATAAAGAAAACAGGATTAATTACATGCTTAGATTACCTCAATATCATTAAAACCAGATACAAGTTCTCACTACCGCTGAGGACATCCCATTACAGGTCACGTCAGAACGACCTTTTTCCAAATTTGACCGACCAATGAAATGACTAACAGGAAGTCGACATTAGCCACTAAGAAAGCAACTTTCTTGAGCTTTGCGGCACTAGTTTCAAACTGGCGACTTCCATTCCAGATAATGCTTTTAAAAATATTTTGAATCCGTCATACAGCATAATTTTGTTTATCTGACATACTCGTTAATTGGCAGCCAACCATGTCGGATTAACGGGTCTTGACTGTATATATGGTAGAGGATTAACAGTAACAATTGCATACACAATTAAACAGGATTAAGTGTACATAGGTGGGGTGATTACTGCTCATGAGTTCATAGTAGGCAGATGGGATGAAATAGCCTTGATCTCTGTTGATAGAAAGCTTGTGGCAGTAATGTGAACTGCTTCTGTTGTTTTCCTTTAGTGAAGTTGTGGAGGTTGTTGGAGAGGATTTGGATGTTATATGTTCAAAGCAGTGTTAAACCATACCTACTCACTTTCATCATTCTGTAATGGGCATTCATTTATTGGGTAACATCTAGGTGGATACAAACAACATGTTCTGCAATAGCTGGTATGCTGCCCTCCATTTGTGAATATGTCTGAAGTGAAGTGACTGTCAATAAGTGATAGTTATAAATGGAGGATTGCCTTTTCAGGATTAACCAAGCAGCATCAGCAACTTCAGCAACATCAGAACCAGCATCAGCATCAGCATCACCACACTCCCCCTGCCCCAGGGTCCTCCTCCTCTGTCCACAACGAGTCAGCACCAAGCCCAAGTAACCCTCTAGCCCAGTCTCTATACAAGATCAACAGTGAGCTATCTCGGGTGCTTGGGATGATCAGCACTAATACCCACCAGCCACCACCCACAGGGGGCAGCACCCACTCCTCAGGTAGGTGGTCACACTTCACTCTAAACACTACCCCCCAGCCACCACCCACTCCTCAGGTAGGTGGCCACACTTTACTGTACACACTACCCCCCAGCCACCACCCACTCCTCAGGTAGGTGGTCACACTTTACTCTACACACTACCCCCCAGCCACCACCAACTCCTCAGGTAGGTGGCCACACTTTACTCTACACACTACCCACCAGCCACCACCCACAGGGGGCAGCAACCACTCCTCAGGTAGGTGGTCACACTTTACTCTACCCACTACCCCCCAGCCACCACACACTCCTCAGGTAGATGGCCACACTTCACTCTACCCACTACCCCCCAGCCACCACCCACTACTCAGGTAGGTGGTCACACTTTACTCTACACACTACCCCCCAGCCACCACCAACTCCTCAGGTAGGTGGCCACACTTTACTCTACACACTACCAACCAGCCACCACCCACAGGGGGCAGCAACCACTCCTCAGGTAGGTGGTCACACTTTACTCTACACACTACCCCCCAGCCAACACCAACTCCTCAGGTAGGTGGCCACACTTTACTCTACCCACTACCCCCAGCCACCACCCACGCCTCAGGTAGGTGGTCACACTTTACTCTACACAATACCAACCAGCCACCACCAACTCCTCAGGTAGGTGGCCACACTTTACTCTACACACTACCCCCAGCCACCATCCACTCCTCAGGTAGGTGGCCACACTTTACTCTACCCACTACCCCCAGCCACCACCCACGCCTCAGGTAGGTGGTCACACTTTACTCTACACACTACCCACCAGCCACCACCCACTCCTCAGGTAGGTGGTCACACTTTACTCTACACACTACTCCCCAGCCACCACCCACTCAGGTAGGTGGTCACACTTTACTCTACACACTACCCACCAGCCACCACCCACTCAGGTAGGTGGTCACACTTTACTCTACACACTACCCCCCAGCCACCACCAACTCCTCAGGTAGGTGGTCACACTTTACTCTACCCACTACCCCCAGCCACCACCCACTCCTCAGGTAGGTGGCCACACTTTACTCTACACACTACCCACCAGCCACCACCCACAGGGGGCAGCAACCACTCCTCAGGTAGATGGTCACACTTTACTCTACACACTACCCCCCAGCCACCACCCACAGGGGCAGCACGCTCTCCTCAGGTAGGTGGTCACACTTTACTCTACACACTACCCCCCAGCCAACACCCACTCCTCAGGTAGATGGTCACACTTTACTCTACACACTACCCCCAGCCACCACCCACTTCTCAGGTAGATGGTCACACTTTACTCTACACACTACCCCCCAGCCAACACCCACTCCTCAGGTAGGTGGTCACACTTTACTCTACACACTACCCCCAGCCACCACCCACTCCTCAGGTAGATGGTCACACTTTACTCTACACACTACCCCCCAGCCAACACCCACTCCTCAGGTAGGTGGTCACACTTTACTCTACACACTACCCCCCAGCCACCACCCACTCCTCAGGTAGGTAGCCACACTTTACTGTACACACTACCCCCCAGCCACCACCCACTCCTCAGGTAGGTGGTCACACTTTACTCTACACACTACCCCCCAGCCAACACCCACTCCTCAGGTAGGTGGTCACACTTTACTCTACACACTAACCCCCAGCCATCACCAACTCCTCAGGAAGGTGGCCACACTTTACTCTACACACTACCCCCAGCCACCACCCACTCCTCAGGTAGGTGGCCACACTTTACTCTACACACTACCCCCCAGCCACCACCCACTCCTCAGGTAGGTGGTCACACTTTACTCTACACACTACCCCCCAGCCACCACCCACTCCTCAGGTAGATGGTCACACTTTACTCTACACACTACCCCCCAGCCACCACCCACTCCTCAGGTAGGTGGTCACACTTTACTCTACACACTACCCACCAGCCACCACCCACTCCTCAGGTAGGTGGTCACACTTTACTCTACACACTACCCCCCAGCCAACACCCACTCCTCAGGTAGGTGGTCACACTTTACTCTACACACTACCCACCAGCCACCACCCACTCCTCAGGTAGATGGTCACACTTTACTCTACACACTACCCCCCAGCCAACACCCACTCCTCAGGTAGGTGGTCACACTTTACTCTACACACTACCCCGAGCCACCACCTACTCTACCCACTACCCCCAGCCACCACCCACTCCTCAGGTAGGTGGCCACACTTTACTCTACACACTACCCCCCAGCCAACACCCACTCCTCAGGTAGGTGGCCACACTTTACTCTACACACTACCCACCAGCCACCACCCACTCCTCAGGTAGGTGGTCACACTTTACTCTACACACTACCCCCCAGCCACCACCCACTCCTCAGGTAGGTGGTCACACTTTACTCTACACACTACCCCCCAGCCACCACCCACTCCTCAGGTAGGTGGCCACACTTTACTCTACACACTACCCCCCAGCCACCACCCACTCCTCAGGTAGGTGGTCACACTTTACTCTACACACTACCCACCAGCCACCACCCACCAGCCACCACCCACAGGGGGCAGCAACCACTCCTCAGGTAGGTGGCCACACTTTACTCTACACACTACTCCCCAGCCAACACCCACTCCTCAGGTAGGTGGCCACACTTTACTCTACACACTACCCACCAGCCACCACCCACTCCTCAGGTAGGTGGCCACACTTTACTCTACACACTACCCCCCAGCCACCACCCACTCCTCAGGTAGGTGGCCACACTTCACTCTACACACTACCCCCCCAGCCACCACCCACTCCTCAGGTAGGTGGCCACACTTAACTCTACACACTACCCCCCAGCCACCACCCACTCCTCAGGTAGGTGGCCACACTTTACTCTACACACTACCCACCAGCCACCACCCACTCCTCAGGTAGATGGCCACACTTTACTCTACCCACTACCCACCAGCCACCACCCACTCCTCAGGTAGGTGGCCACACTTTACTCTACACACTACCCACCAGCCACCACCCACCAGCCACCACCCACAGGGGGCAGCAACCACTCCTCAGGTAGGTGGTCACACTTTACTCTACACACTACTCCCCAGCCAACACCCACTCCTCAGGTAGGTGGCCACACTTTACTCTACACACTACCCACCAGCCACCACCCACAGGGGGCAGCAACCACTCCTCAGGTAGGTGGTCACACTTTACTCTACACACTACCCCCCAGCCACCACCCAATGCGAACACCCACAGGCAAAAACAATGTTCAAAGTTATAGCAATAAGCTATAGTCAACAGATGCACTGAAAGAACCAAATGCCTGCATTGAATTAACCGTTTCCTAAAACTTGGGGAACAGTGATATGATCAAAAAGATTTAAATCTATGAATGGAAACACTTACAAAATAAATGAGTGCAGACTCTCAGGACCTTCTGAAATTAGGATCGACCAGCAGTCATTCCAGTATTTACAGTACATCATGACTGCCTGTTTTGTTGCAGCGTCCACCAACCCTCAGTACCCCATCTACGTCCCCCACGCTCCCAACACCCCATACTCCAGCTGGGCCACGGACAACAGATATGTGTAAGTACTGCTGGTGCTCCCTGTAGACAGACTTTTAATACAGGAGTGTCTCGTACTCGGCTGTTGTAATTTGTAATTCCTGGATTACCTTAAAATCTTTGCTGATAATGTTTGAGATTTTTATTAAATAACAAAATAACAGTACCTTGCAAGATATGATGCTTACCTTGATCCCAGCTGTGAACCTAATGGAAGATTAAGCAATAGAAACTGGCAGTTGACAGAGTTATCCACAGGACTGTTAAATTACTAAAAATGTGCACTATGCCACCCATGGTAATATCTCACTCAATGACATAATAAATCTTGTTTTTAAGAACATACAAATTTTCATTTTTTGGAGGGTATTTTTTTACTGTTCTTAACGAAAATCTTTGATAGTAGAATGAAAGGGAGTTTATGTCTACCATTAACAGTTCACTTGAGTGACACAGTTTTATTTTTTTACATAAATACAGATATGTAATATTATAATTAGATAGATAATAAATTAAGTTGTTTTTCCATCAACAGCCACTCTCCCCTACACAGAGTGGACTATTCCAACCTGGCCCACACAGCAGAGGTGTCACTGGAGAGGAAATGGAGGAAGTACTTTGGAGGTAGGGGAATCAGGTTGTGTATATGGTGACAGCAGACATGGGCTTGCCATGATGTCAGATTTTGAATGCTTAAAGGAGACAAGACGAGACAAAACTAGGTGACAATACTTTATTTCTTAGCACAGATTGAACATAAATATTAATAAGAAAAGAACATATGTTCGTAGCACATTTTTGCTGTTATTTTACCAATCATCACTCCATACAAAACATTGTATCACAGAATCATATATTGGTGAGTTACAACATGAAGGTATCACAGTATTCATGTACACTTCGGATACAGATCATCAAGCACATCGGTGGAGCTCACAGCTCTCCAGACATAGGCCTCGAGTGATTGTCACCATGTAGCGGTTGTAGCTGCCATGGCAGTAGATGGTGCCAGCATCTTCCTCATCCTCACTGTACTCGTCCTCATAGCTCAGGTCCATGGAGGATTCGTTGTCACTGCTGAAGGAATTGTCCATGTCCTCCTCTACCCTTGGCTGTGTTGGCGGGTTCCAGTAAAGCAAGCCAACCTGACCTTGATGCTGCAGTAGATGGTCCCCACCGTGGTGTTGATGCTGCAGAAGGTGGTCCCCACCGTGGTGTTGATGCTGCAGAAGGTCGTCCCCACCGTGGTGTTGATGCTGCAGAAGGTGGTCCCCACCCTGGTGTTGATGCTGTAGAAGACGGTCTTGGTGTTGCTGACTGTGGTTCTGATGCTGACTAAAGACATTCAGTCCATTTTCCAAGCTCTCCCGATTCTGCATCTGCAGTTCCTCCACATCCCTCTGAGACTCATTTCCCAGCATCTCAGCCCTCAACTGATGTTCCTCAACCCTGACATGTTGGTCCTCTGAGAGGCTGTCAGTGGTGATGTCCTGGTCCCCTGTCCTGCTGTCGTCCCGCAGGTCCTCCCCGCTCACATCTATGTGGAGCTGGTGCTCGTCCCCGGTGATGGTGCTGATACAGGCTTGGACCTCCCTCCACTTGTTGAGTCGGTAGAGGCTGAACATCTCCTTCACTCCCTCCACGACACACCTCCTCTGGGCCAGCTGGACGCCATGGATAATGTGACCGTCCACCACTTGCTTCGTCATCTTCTTCATGAGGCTGTGAACCTCCAGATCTGGAATGACACATTAGAAACATTACAGGCAGTTCAATATGCATAGGCAAAACATTAAGCAGAACATCACTAATCATTGTATTGCATGTTATTGACATATCCAGGTATCAAGTCGTAGAGTTGCATCCCTTAGAAGTGCCAGGATCCCACATTCACCCTTATCATAATCCTTGGTTTGTCAGCATCAGACTCATGCCATTGGGTTTCACAAGACTTTGAACTTTTCTTGAAATACCTCCCACTTTAGGCTGAAATGCTGTGATAGAACTGAAACATTAACCCAGCTCAGGTCACTAAGATAAGTAACTTGTGTGCCTAGTCCATATAATCATATAGCTTTAACATTGCTAACTGTGGCATATAAGTGTCATGTGTGACTTACCCAGTGCATAGATCTGAAACGCAGCCTTGTCATGAGCCAGCAGCAGGTTCCTCAGTTGGGTGGCGGCTAAAACAGATGCCATTGTCAACGATATACCACGCAATAACCTTTACAAGAGACAGCAATGCGATGTTGAGGAGACTGTTGAAGCTACTTCTGCTCCTCCTCTATATACTGCAGAGGAGAGCAAGTTGCTTCATTCAGGACACAATGGCAGCTACTCCACTGTGATACTTTCTGCTAAGATCAAAGAGTTGCTGCTTTGTAAGGACTCTTACCAATCTTTTATTTTGGGATCAAACAGTTCTAAATCCTTGGATCATAGAAGAAGCACAGATTGATGTATGAGCGCAATCAGTCTCCTGATCCTGTTGGCTTCTCTGCAGCACTGATGTGATAAAGTCCATAGTCCTGTCAGTAGTGCTAAGTTGAACTTCAAAGAGACTTGTAACAACAGTGCTGACTGGATCTTGCAGTCTTGTATCAACAATACTGATTAGACACTACAAGACCTGTATCAACAATCCTGATTGGACCTTACAGTCTTGTATCAACAATCCTGACTGGACCTTACAGTCTTGTATCAACAATACTGATTGGACCTTACAGTCTTGTATCAACAGTTTCTGATTGAGCCTCAGAGGGACCTGCATCAACAGTGCTGATAGAATAGAAGTTTTTATTTCATAAACAGATTGTACAACATAAACAGATTAGTAAGAACAACATAAACAGATTAGTAAGTATGACTGGCCCTTAAACATACTTGTATCAGCAGTACATACTGAAGCGGTGTGATGATGTATGTTGCAACATTTCTTTGTATTTACAGACAGAAGACCACCTTTGACCAGTGCTTCAACTCTCACCACCGGATCAGTGGGCATTGGTCATCCCCCGGTCAGGTGGGTAGTGTCCCAGGCTTCACTGGCTGTGTTCTAACATCGACATTGGTTATAATATAGGTGCAAACTATCCTTATCACAGACACATAAACAATTTGTTTCAATTTGACTCGTGAAGTAAATCGATGTGATTTGATATTATACATACAGTCGTGATATTGAGGTCATTGATTTCAAATACAACCAAGTTTTAAAGCAACTAAATCATATCCCAAAGTCAAGTGTTTGTCAATCATTTTGAGAGGAATGTATAGATATTATGTCTCATTACCTTTGGGATAATTGTCGTATTCTTGAACATGTTCAAGTGGGCCAGCGTCTCAATGTCCTTTAAATGTTGTTTAGAATTGAAGAAAATTATCTCCCATCTAATATGAAGCATAGGCCCCGCCAAATAAGTCACATCTCTTTTGCCTGTGGAAAGAAAATTTTATGGAGACCCATCAAAATATACAATCAGATTTACTTCATATATAAATTTATGATGAATGTGCTGTTTACTGATTTCTCATACATATTTGTTTTATTTTCTCTGTTAATCCAGACAGTTCTGTTTTCAGTGAAGTTATCTGGATAATCAAGTTTCCGTATTAACAAATCATGTTAGTTTAATGTCCCTTATATCATAATAATATTTTCTTAGATTTTTTAACAGGCTGTAATGAGTAATACTGTTTTGTTTCATTCTGTGATATCTGAAGACAAAGACTAACAGACTGCATGTTGCCATGGTTACAGGGAACAGCTGCGACAGTACCGCCTGAGTCTGCTAGAGACCCACCAGCAGCCCGGGGTGTCCACCTCCGACAGATTGGCAGAACACAAGCAGTGGCTACACCGCTTCCAGCAGGACATCAGCTTCGGGGCTTCCATAGTCCGGCAGTCGGGGTCCGACGCAGGGTCGATGTATCCTTCAGTACATGTGGCGTAAGCTGCCGGGATGCAGCATCACATCATCAGTAGCAGTTCCTGTTGGAAGGCCTGCATCCCCATTCCATCAGTGTTAACCTCAATGGATGCCATTGAGGGTTCAGTGAATTCCAGCTTGTGATCATGCTTATTACCGTATTCACCGTAATAAGTGCTATAACTGCTAGAAAGTTGACAGAAGTGGTGCTTAATAAAACCATAAACAATTTATATTTATATCAGAGGTCAAGCAGTTTTTTGATAATGGTGACTGGGTTCTTATGTTTCTGAAAAATATCTGTAATATACAAACATATTATATAATGTCATCTAAGTTGGTTGGGGTCACTTCATTAGAGCAGGGCGCTTATTATGGTGAATACAGTAATTCCTGTGCTGTTGGTGATTCAAGAAGCCAAGGATGAGAGTGTCCTGTCCTCCTCATTCCTGCAGTCAGCTCTTTCTTTCGCAGTGACTATTTGTTGCCTATACTTTGGTAGGTGATGCTTCATATGTCCCTTTGACCTTTTTGCTGCTTGCACAGAGAATAGCTGCTTGTTGTAGGAAGTAATTTTACATTACACTTTTTTTTATTGAAGAACTGGAGTATCTCAGTTACTGTGAGACCTTGTTTATTTAAAAGTATATCCAGTTATCCTGAGTTTGAGATGAGAGGAATTCGCCCTCATGGCTTATTCTCTCTGCAGTGTTTTATTGTATGATTAACAATGACCACAAGTCACTTATTTCTTATATGAGATATCAACATTCTGTACAACCTCTGTAAGGATGTTGATAAAACATACAAGCTTTTAAAATATTTACCCAGATTTCAATAATGATGACTCCCTGAATAGAATCCAACCTCTGAAATGTTGGACAAGTCTATTTTAGGAACAGTTGGGTTAAGTTTGGTATTTCTCGCATATTCTCACAATCCTCAAGTCGATCATTTGTACCTATTCTCCTAATTCTGATTGTCATTTCCCTCCCTCTTTTGGATGCGATCGCTCGGCCACTGACAGGATCCTAAGTTATATGTCATTCTAATGGAGAGTGAGTTAAGGCCTCCCTCTAGGTCCATTAATTCTTTTGGATTATGTTTGAAATTGAAATTGTTTTATTTGTCTGTGTACACTGCCAAAGGTGTGTACAAAACAGTCAGATTTGCGTTGGACTTGTGTTTGTGTTCCGACTAACATCTATTTGAATACATGACATTTTTTTATGGATTGCAACGTCTTTTATTCTTTGTCATGTTTCAGTGCTACTTCACCCGATGAAGGAGCAAGAAATAGCTCTGAAACGTTCTGACAAAGAGTGAAAGAAGTTTCTATCAAAAAGGGTGTCATGTTTTCATGTTCTTCCAACTTATAAAATGATAATCAAACACTTTAACATCGATTTCAATTTCCCTTCTATCCACACTGACCCTCACTGTTAGCACAGATTGATGTCACTCATACTTCCCAAAACAGGAGTCCATGTGAAGTCCAGGGTAGACTAGTTCACCATATGCTTGTCACAAGAGACTGGTGTGATTCCTGGGTACAAGTCGTCACTAGCTCACCCACTCACTGAACATGATCAGTGACTCTGTGATGGAAGTGTGCCAGCTTTGACATAGAATTGCACATGGAGTAGGTAACTGTTACTTGCTGGAACCACCCACAGGGACATAGGAAAGAATATAGGTCAGCGGCAACCTATGCTTGTCGTAAGGTGATCGTGTTGTCAGACTTGGTGACTTGGTTGATCGCGTTTCATCATTAAGCCCACAGCATGGATCGATGCTCGCAATATCAATCACTAGATTGTCTGGTCTGGATTTGATTATTACAGGCTGTTGTCATGTGGCTGGAATATTGCCAAGTGCTGCGTTAAGCCAAAAACGACATAACAGATTATGCAGTGATTTGCCTTGACATATCAAATAGTACATTGCTTTAGGCAAGAAACTAGCTTTGAATCTTCGGAAGAAAGTAATGTAAAAATTGATATGTAAAGAAAGAGCAACGTTTAAAAACATGGATTTGCAGTAATAAGTCTTGTAGGTAAAATTATGTGTTCTTTTGTGTTTACCATTTACCATGTTTTCCATTTTCTTTGCACGTTGTGTTTTGTTTGCACGTTTACCTTAACTTTCTGACAGCACTAGTCTAGGTGGTGCCTCTGACCAGAAGTCGTATACCGAGCCTTTCTCCTCCACCCCAGCCCGCCCCACCCACCCAGCCTCTCACAGGGGAGGAGGGGCCATCCGCCTCGAGCTGGACGACAACAATGATATTGTTGTCCGACAATACCAGCTGTGATTCTGTGATATATAATGCTGGAGGGAATTGTATTGAACAAGATAGACTACAGAGTTCAGGAAATGTAGCATCAGAATGGTGCTGAAAGCAGTGTTAATCAACGTTAACTCACATTCATGCAGATGCTGAGCATCAAATAGTACCGTCCATAAGAGTTTGTTAGAAACAGGGTTGGAATATTTGTCCCAAGGGCATGGTGTGTCAGATGTTGTTAAATAGTTTGTGTCACTTGTATTTGTTGAAAGCTCCAATATTGAACATCAACGAACATGATCAATGCTATTTCGGACTTGCTTACAGTTTGACTTCAGAACAACCATTTGGAAACTGCTGATGTTTCATGTTTTCAGGAAGTAGTTATCTTGAGAGATGCACGCAAGCACCTGCACTGTCTCACTGCAAGACTGTTGTTGACCACTGCTTCTGTTGCAGATGTTTGTGAACTAATCCTTGTGGTTATACTTAACTGTCACAGATAACCTTGCAAGAGCACCTGCACAGTGGTGTCCGTGTCCTAACCACTTGAAGTCCGGAAGATGGTGGACAGTGGTCAAGCGTGACCAGTTTCAGTTGTGTACTTTATTTCATGTAACACTCTTACCAAGGGTATCTTATGATGGACTAGCCACAAATCTGACTTAGAGTTTGGAAAAAAATTACATTTTCTGTCTGAATTATACTTCAATATTGCTGATTGTCCAGTGGGTGCAGTGGTGTCCACTGGTCTTCAGGAATCCTATTTGCTGTGAAGAGTTGCATCCCTTAGTATTGCCAGGATTCCCAAATCAAAGATTTCCCCCATAATGATCCTTGGTTTGTCAGCACGAGGGAAGCCCAATTGTTCAAGGAACTCGCTGTGTTCTGTCATGTCAGCACTCTAGGAAATGTTTTCGTGGGTTCAAATCCCAGTTCGCCTCAGTTATGTTTCTAGGTTAGTTAGGACCATACCCGTGCTCGTGGGTTTCGCCAAAGTGACAAACACCTAAGACCTGCATCACTTTGGGCTTCCCTCCCACATCAAGCTGACTCGTTGGAATACTGTTCAAAGTGGCATTAAACCCAACTCACTCACTCACTCACTCTCAGTACAAAATGACATGCTGGGTTTGGCAAAGTGACAAGCGTCTAAAACCTGCATCACATTGGTCTGTCTTCACAAATTAAGCAGACAAGCTGTATTAAATACTGTTGAATGTAGCGGTAAACCCAACTCACTCACTACTTAAACACTGATAAATTGCCATCTCTGTGTAAGTCTCAGTAGAACATACACCATGTCTCAGATGTGTCTTGATGTAACTACAAATATTGTGATTATTTTTACTGCGCTGACATTTTCTATGAAATATTCTGCATGACAATATTACAAGGACAAGTGCCATCTTGAAAACTGTTACTTCACCGTCCAGTCTATTTTTGTGTACATGAGTGTTTAGTTTTTGCTGCGGTACATGCAAGCAGATGCCTTTTTTTTTAACATAAAAATAAAAACAGTTACTGCTTGATCATGAAGATCCCACCAAGAGAGCATTTGTATTTTTAACAGCAATGTATCTGACTTCTTGCCTATGCAATATATTTTGTGGCGTGTAAATATGTCTTTTAACAATTCACCATTGTATTGACTGTGAGTACAATGTACATGAGTATTGTTTGAAATGTATGCTTATATGTATGTGGTGCATTGTAATACCAGGCAAATAGTAACTGATTGTATATAAACGAATACAATGTATACACACTTAATGCAGATTGTATTTTACTACTTGTAGCACAGTGCATGATTTTGCATTCAATACATTGTATATACCTTAATTACATAGTGCATGATTGTATAAACACACTAATTCCACAGTTCATGATTATGCATTCAATACATTGTGTATACCCTCATTACATAGTGCATGATTGTATAAACACACTAATTCCACAGTTCATGATTATGCATTCAATACATTGTGTATACCCTCATTACATAGTGCATGATTGTATATACACACTTATTCCACAGTGCATGATTATATATATATACATGGGTACATTGTGCATGTACTCAGTAAATAGTGCATGATTGTATATACATATTTTACAGTGAATAATTGTATATATGACCAGTTAGCGTGGCTATGACAAGTGCATGATTGTACATGATTGTAGTTGGTTGTATGATTGTATACAGTCAGTGCAGGACATGTTGTATATTCACATAGATAAAGACCATGACTTGGTATGTACATTGGATATCTTATTGGACTTAAACTTTCTATAAAAGTTGTCTGTAGAATGTTTTTGTCATAATGCCATTATTTTTTATTGTTGAATCACGGATATGCTGACCATAATTTGAATTTGAAAAGAAATAGTCCAAATTTACTTTTTTGTGCAAATATGCAAAAATATTCTGTGATTTTATAAAATACCATCGACAACACTAATGTGATGCTCACTTTGATATTTTGCCAAATCACCCATCATCGCTGATTCTGTGCATAGTAAATCTTGAGTTCTGCCCTTATCCTTGACAGATGCACTTAACTGTATACCGAAATGAACTCCCTATGTCTTCCAAGAAAAGTCAACATTTCACACACTTACAGAGTTTGAAAGTCAAAGTTCCAGGATGAGGCAGATGTCATTTATTTTTTTACTCCTCGAACATCTGACTTTGGTAGACCAATCTGTGGTCCAGCAAATAAATGACTAAATAATGGCATTAACATTAACATGTACAGGTGGGTGGTCATAGTTCTAGTGGGTTCTCGTTCTTACTCAATATTTTAACCCACTATAACACTGATCACCCACCTGTGCGTGTACCATCTTCCCGAGGCAAGCGTGTCCACTAGCCTATATCAAAGCCTAGTTTCTACCCTTGCCACATCAAGACCACTTTTCTTGGCTCAACCCTGGCGCCAATTTGCGTAGATCATGAGTTGTGCCCCTTAAAACACGATATCCAATCAAATCACTTATCTCGTATGGCTTCACATGGCAAGGACCTAGTCGATCAGATAATGAAAACATTTGCTATTTCATCCCTGACACAAAAATAAGCTGTGGATGTTGATTTTGTGAAACATTCTCTGATTGGACTGTCAGTATGTGCGATAGTCCAATCATATTTAGCACAGGAAAGTGGGCTTGATGTGGCAAGGGTGGAAACAAGACTTTGATAAAAAGGCAAGTGGACACTGTTGCCTCGGGAAGATGTATGTGTTCACTCATGTTATGTGTATCTTCTTTCATTGTACAAATATCATCCCATGAGTATTTTCCTTGTAGCCTGAAGTATATCACTGGAAGATGCAGTGTGTCAAATATTCAGGGTTATGACATAGTGTGCAGTAATTGACATAGACGTGTGTATACAGCCTTCACCTCATAATCACCTTTACCCTCCCACCTTCTCAACTCTAACCTTTGGTCATTCATGTGCTCAGTATCAGATGTAAGGAGGCATTGGATTGGCTGAATTCATCCAGTCTAACATATTCTTTCTTGGAAGCCATTGATTAGAATATTAGTATCCTTTAGTTGATATAGATCTGAAATCTTTCTTTGGTAACGTTTGTATCATAAAAGTTTGAACTATTCATAAGAAGTGGTAACTTTGTATGTATCTGCTGATTATGTTCTCAATTGTTGTAGTATGGTAGTTACACAAAGGAATCTCCTTGTTTTATTTTGTAAAAGTTTTTTTTTACACAAAATCTGGAGTAAGAAAATGTCTAAATTGAAATTATATGCCACAATGATTTTTAACGATTTGGATCTCCCAACATATGTTTTTGCTAACTGGGTCAATATTTGTCATTACAAGAAGACATCTAAGACATACTTGTTAGCAGTTTGAATTACTTTTTCATTTTTGTCAGATATATCACATAATGGATGCACCTCATGCCTATTTCACTTGTTTATGATTTGATGGTCATTTAATTGGAATGAATCGTATAGATAGTGAATCTCCTAGAGGTAGGTAGATATGGCACTCGACTTGCCCAGTTGAGTTTGGTCCATTATGTCACACTTTGTAACACTAAGGCATTGTTTCCCTTAGGCTAAAAAAATTAATAGTCTTGGTTCTTAGGCCCACATTATCACAAAGTCTGCCGCACGTTTCGTTTTTATTTCCATTTAAAAATAAAATAAAATCCTAATAAATTATAACAATGCGATCCAATAGAGCACGCAGTTACATCCTGTGTTATGGTCATGGCAGCAATGAGTTTATATGCTTGTTTATGTAGGGAGGCCCTTTCCCAGGCTGATGGTACACAACTGTTTATTTGGTTACATACTAGTTTGAACAAGCAACAAAAAACAAAACAACACCACCTGCCCACACTATATTTTCAAAAGTCATTGCCTAAGAACCAATTCTTTAATTTTTAAAAGCATTATATAGGGCGCTCACAGAATCTCCCCTCTGGTGTTGCAAGCATCCCTCACACAAGGCGGAAGGGAAAAGGGGAGATTCTTTTACACATCATGTTTGATTAGGATGATGTGCAAATCATGTTTTAGGATTTATCTCCCTTTGAAAAATAAATTGAACCATTAATTACCAAACAGACTTGGCAAAGTCATGTATATATAATCCCTGGATTAGCACTTTCTCCTCCACACATGTCGCCCAGACAGTGTGGGGAGTTGTGTCGTAGAGCTCTCTGTGATAACATACACAACCAGCATTACAGCGTGTATATGTGATGTGTGTTGTCTTCTGTGTAATCTCTTCAAGTGCTACGTGTACGATATCAGAGGATAATCTCACTTCCTCTAACTCGGCACACAGACCACAGCTCTTTGCTGTAACTAGTTAAAAGAACATGAGCATGTTACCACTTGTTTAGAAATTTATCCAGACATTTTTACATTAAGTATGAATGACTTAGACAATATTTGCTTGGAAATGATCAAAAAGACATGAAAACCCTGATTTGTTTTTTCTGGTGAGTGTATTATGGGAATGCTGTTACTAATGCATGGTTGTACTTGGTGAAAAGGCAGTATATTGCAGTATACCGGACACCTTCCTCCATTTTGGTAAGGGATGTGCACGGCCTCCTTCCTTTGTAATGGTTTCTTACTTGTTCAGCTGCCATTTTTAGTGTTCTCGCTAAATTAACAAAGGGTTTCGGGGTTTGCGTTGTAATAAAACCTCTCGTCAGTAATTTTGAGTAACCAAAGTTAATGAAAACCACTACTTTTTGTTGAAATGTGACCCTGACGCATGTGACTGACGAGGCTACCCACACACCATTTTGGAACTTCTATTTTCGAGTCATTTCGATGTTGATGTGTGATTTTCGATGTTTATGGATTGCTTTGATATTCAATTTCGTGGTTGAATTATATTTAACCCTACAAATGCAAGCGGTGTGATTATTTGCTTATTTGATCTTTATGTCCCTATTTTTCAAATGCCGTGTGCCTATGTATAAGAAGAACCAAACAAATATGGCCGACAGGTATCCGGTGTAATGCAAGTGTACGTGTGACATTCAGCAAGATATTGGAGCTGTTACCAAAGCTTGTCATTTTTGTGTCCACATATGCCTTTACGAGATGCCTGCATGAGATTGGGGAATTTTACACTTCCTTTTGGGGATTTCTAAGGATCGTTTTGACTGTCTGACCGCCAAATTTCAACTGTGGTTATTTTCGAATGAATCAGACAGCAGGTGTATGTCAAGCCAACAGTAAACTCACATTTCATCTCCCATTTGTCATCTCTATATGTGTGCCTTGATATTATTCATGGTTGCTGTAGTATGTATGTAACATTTTTGTATATGTCAGATTCTTACACACTAGGTTACAATTGTACAGATCAACACTACATGGCCCTGACTTCAACGACCGGGGCCCTGAATGTGGTTTGAATTAAACTGATTGAAAATTGTTTGATTAAATTAGGAGAAGAGTGGACAGCCTTGACAAGCCTTGAACTAGATTATGTGTTTAAAAATGCCTTTTCGTTTCGAAATATTTTCAACAACAATAGAATTTTCGACGGCTCAAAAACACAAGAATTGTCTTCTATGGTCTACAATTGATAAAGGTTTCAGCAAGTAAATGTTAACATTGTAAGTTGTTTCGTATCGTAGGGTTTGAATAAAAATATAACATGGCATGCATTTACCATTTTTGTCAAGTCAATAAGATAAAAAATAATTTTATCAACTGTAGAAGTAGAAAATTGTTAAGATTAGGAGCAGACAGATGTCATTTTAGATCAAATTGTAGCTGTTATATCCAAACTAAATCTTTGAATAGAAATATAAAGCTACATTTGAATACAATGGTTTTATCTTTAAAATGTGTGCTAGGATATCCATCAACCAAGCCTTAAAACAATACTGAGACCAACTTTGTTGTCTCTTATATGTTCAAAACATTGATATTTTGAAAAAACAACATAATTTCATGACATTTCTTGATTTTGCATGATCTAGGGTTGAATGCCTTATGTAAGAACCCTCACTATAGCATCAGTACCTGGAACCTGTAGATGATGTGAACATCCCTGTGATGTCCCTCTGTATAACACACAAAGCCAAAATGATGTAGTGCCCGAGTACATGACTTCAGTAGTATATCATACAGTTAAACCTGATGTTGGTGTGTTCTCTTTACATGGGACTAACGGAGGACCATTATAATGGTTTCCATGTACATGTATTTTACAGATATCCGTCCAAACACAAAATGTCGGTGTATTACTCTCACCAGTAATATCAATATATTTGTCACAGACGTAAATCACAGTTATTGATATTAGTTTTAGGCTTTTACTTTTTATACCGATTTTCTTAATAAAATACATTTTAAAGGCGAATAAGTTTGTGATAAGAGTAATTGCTATTCATCAGGTTTTTATCATGGGAATTAGTGAACGATAGAAACCAATAGATCTGTATGCTGAATAAGCACTGCAGCAACAAGACGTGTTCTTTAGTTTCGTATATTACTCTGCCTTGCTGTATACTAACATCCAACACAGACTGTATGGTATATTTTAAGACTTTTGTCTGAATAAATAAAATAAAAGTATTACGTTTTGTTGTTGTGTATGTATGTATGTATGTTATCTGCAAAAAAATTTATATGGTATACATGTATTGTAATTTTGAGTGTGGCTTTAATCCTAAAATACAATGTTCCTCTTGGACCAATCACGAATTCAATGTCCTGCTAAAAGGGATAGGTTAAATAGCACATGTTATGTCCCAGCAGAGACATTTCCACACTAACTGGGGCGGTCGGGTAGCCTAGTGGTTAAAGCGTTCGCTCGTCACGCCGAAGACCCGGGTTCGATTCCCGTCATTGGTACAATGTGTGAAGCCCATTTCTGGTGTCCCCCACCGTGATATTGCTGGAATATTGCTAAAAGCGGCGTAAAACCATACTCACTCACTCCACACTAACTGGTTGTAAACAGCATAATGGAACAGAAGGTGCTTGTTGAGGGACATCTTCCCAAGGCAAGGAGGTTAACTGACTTTAAAAGTCCAGTCAACTGGGCGTCGACAGATTCTTTCCAAATCTTTTCATGTTCTTAATCAAGGTGCCCAAGTGATTTGATGCTCTTCGCGAGGGGAAACCTGTTTTATTATTAAAAGCATCTTTATCATCGATGCGATCGTCTTTACTTGACGCTGCCATTATGTTTGAGGTTCTACTACACCAAATCAGAAACAAGTCGTTCAACAAGCCTTCAGTGCAGATTGAATCATCTGGCAGCTGTGATTGAATGATTTTGTGTGAGAGTTTTATGTTTTTGAAATGTACATCCATCCAGTAATTAAAACTAACCATGTCTTTGTATATTTAGTACTGTCTTTATGCTGAATGTGACAATTTAGTGCGGAAGTGGGGGTGGTGTGTTTAGCTTCCTGTACTCTGAAAAGGAGCTGGCTAAGCTAGTCATTTTTTTATTGTTTCTCTAAGGCAAAACTGTGCACTCACGTACAGGTAATAGCTGTTGAATGCTTAGTTATTTAAAAAAAAATAACGTTACTACAGGAGTCTATGGGAAAACACTTGGTCGTGTGTTACCTTGAAGCAAATGCAAGTGATATGAGAGTTTGAATCTGATTGGTCCGAAGGGGGAACATAGAAGGGACATAACACTTTATTGCCACTGATGGCGCTACGATCGAGTCCAGAAACTCCAGCCTTGTTCGACAAGGGTGGAAACTGGACTTTTAAAGTCAATTAACTACCTTGCCTCGGGAAGACGGTTGAGGGTCAGCTTCGTCAAAGTCGAAGTTTAATGGAGGCCCCCACACAAGTGTATATTTGTGTTTCCTTTTGCAATTATGTTATGACGATATATTCAATACATCTGATTACTTAGGGCTTCTGAGTTAGAATTGGTCCCCAGAAACCAAGGTGGTCATATGAGGCGGCTTAATGGACCTGGTGATCAAGCTCGGTGACTAGGTGTCATCGGATTGTTGCTCACAATATCAATCATTGGATTGTCTTGTCAAGACTTGATCATTTACAGGCCGCTGGCGCACGCACGCACGCACCACCACCGCACCCCCCCCCCCCCCCCCCCCTCTCCCCCCACCACACACACACACACACACACACACACACACACACACACACACACACACACACACACACACACACATAATGGATCATGAAATATATATGTTATGATGGATAAGATAAGCTTTGATAAATGACTGCCAGAAACATAAAATAGAACAGAACCAAAAACCATCGATCATGCAATTCCGTCGTGCACGTTGTTAACGGGACATACTTGATTTAGACACTTGAGTGGAAGGCCGTCAAATCGCCCTGGGCCATTAGTTTTCATCATACACAGTAACACATAAGCCTTCTACTCTTGCTTTAATGCGGTATTTGTGATCAGACTGGGAATGCGCCGTCTACAACGTGATGAACGCCTAAGGGCTAGTGGCATGCTTCAAACTGGTAGAACTCTGCGAGAAGTAGCCAATTTGCAGACTTTGGAACAGGTCTCTGCAGACACAACATGTAAATGATCGGCCCCGCACAGGGCGCCTAGGTCAACAACACAAGTCCAAGATCGATTAATCAGAGACCAGTCTTGAGAAATCGAGCCCAAAACAGCCAATCGCTGCTCACTTGCGCGAGGTCACCATAGTTAATGACCAGGCGATTAGAAATAGTCTGCATGCAACTAATCTTCAGACTCGGCGACCATGTTTTGCACAACTGTTAACAAATCAACGCATTCTAGCCAGACGCCAATGGTGTTTTGAGCTTAGAAACTCATTGTATGCTGAACAAGAAACAAACTTTTTGTCCATTAGTCTTCCAGCTATGATGTGTAGCTTTGTGTTCATTTGAGGCTGATGTATCAATGCCGACTTCAAATGTACTTGTGAACATGGGCACGCCGGCAAATGACTTTTAGCTGTAGCTTACATTGCATTGGTACTCTATGGTATTTAATAGGGTCTCAGGTTGTCATGAAGATCAGGTGGTTACAATGTGTGACATGACTAATTGTCTGTCGTGCCCTGGTTGTGAATATCATTCCTCATGCTGTTCACTGCTGTCGCGAACACCTGGTGTCATTGATTTTCAGTGATCCGTTGACATAGTTTTCACCACTAGTTCGTCTTTTACCTTCCAATGGAACGGGGGATAATCAGACAGGTTCTCTGTCCAACAGCAGATGATTAACAAATATTGCTGCTGTAATCTTGCTGACAGTAGTGTATAATATGCATTCACATGCTCACTAATCAACAGGTTTAAATTCAAGAAGTTTGTGTTAATGATTTAAATAATCAATAACACACCTCTTCGAACAAAACATCTGTTACACTTGATTCAAATCGATACCTGTAGATCTGTGATATATGTACGTCAGTGTCAAACCGGGTCCACAGTTTGCGCAAAACCTGCCTCACAGGATGTCTCTCAGCGAGGAGGCTATATTACACAGTCGCCAGAGACACTGTCAGTATGTCTTAAGATTTCTATGTTACATTATTATATGATATTTATTTTAGACACGTATTTATTAATATTGTGCTATATTTCGAACTGTATTTAGTAATACAGATCCATGATTGTGTATTTTGAGTCCTTGGTCTCCCTGGTCCAGTATTTATAGACCGCCGTGATATAGCTTTGATATTGTTAAAAGGTCGTAAAATAACATTCACTCAGTTTCTGAAAGCCTTTGAATGAACTTATTGCCATCTAAGTGGTTCGGCAATGTACCACATATAAATTACGGCCGGTTCGGGCGCTAGGCATTGTATCAGTAATCCACATTTATCGAGGTTACATATTGACTTCGAACAGGAACAGTATTTGGTATTCACTCTAATGTATAAACCCTGTTTAGTGTAAGTAAGGCCTCAGGTCCACATACATGGAATGTAAGTTGTCAAGTTATCCCATCGTGTTACATGCATGGTGTACATGGCGATACAGTTTCTGGTTTTCAGAGCTACATTGAAGAACATCATATTGTTGTTTGTTTGTTGTTTAACGCCGCACCCTGCAATATTCCAGCTATATGACGGCGATCTGTAAATAATCGAGTCTAGACCAGACAATCCAGTGATCGACATCATGACCAGCGATCTACGCAATTGGTATACAGTGACATGCATTAACCAAGACAGCGCAATTGGTACACAGTGACACGCATAAACCAAGTCAGTCGCCTCTTACGACAAGCATAACTTCCTGAAGATCAGTTCTAACACGGATCTTCACGGACGCCATAGATCGTTATTTTAATGGTTGACAGACAAAACAATTCATGTAAGGTGTCATTGTTACAATTCGTGCGGAGGTTCAATTCAGTAACACCTAAAGCCGAATCGAAATTGACTTATGAAGTAGGCCGTACTTGGCACATGCCTTAGATACAGCGCTGCACACAAAGTTCGTGAAGATAGGCTATCAGGTGATTGATAGGGATGACTGTGTCTACAAATATGATAATGTTGTCATCGCAGTGTGAGGATGGCCGTCGCTGTCACAGCACATTGTCACTCGGAGGGCAAAGTTCATCTTCATCAATGGATGTTACACGTTGTCCGACGACTCGAATGAAGATGACTCCACTCCCGAACAAGTAGAGTTACTATTGCCGACACATTTAGACCACTTTGTGTGCTGAAAGGTTAGTTGGTGCTTTAAAAGTTGTTTGTTCGTGTTTTGTAATAATTGTATTTTATAGATGTTCCGTGTTGGTATGGCTCGTAACGAGGCGTCGTTATTAACAAACCAGCGTTATAAGCTTCAGGGAGTAAATGAGATAAAATTTGATATCGCATGGACACTTTTTCAGCCACATTGCGACGAGAAAACGTTATAGGATTTATAAACTAAGGATAAAGTCTTGTAATAAAAAGGAGTTTTATCTGTTGCTTTATCTGTCAACTGGTGCTGTTTAATTTGGAAACCAGTTAACTTGTATTTGAGTTAGAGCTTTTAGCAATATTCCAGCAATATCACGGCTTCACACATTGTACCCATGTCGGGAATCGAACCCGGGTCTTCTGCGTGACGAGCGAACGCTTTAACCACTAGGCTACCCGACCGCCCCTATTTGAGTTAGACATGGGAGTCTTTGGTCCAGACAGAATCAAGGCTATGATCTCAATTTGTACCAGAAACTGCTTGACAACAACATTTGTCTGCAGGTGTTTCGGTGTTTACTCTCTAAAAATTGTTCCCTGGGAATGCTGGTTGTCCTGACCCCCATACAACCCACCCCCACCCCCTACCCCCACCAGAACCCCCCTACCCCAAAATTGTTTTGCTCCCCCTTTCGGAGACAACTGTTGTGTAGTTTTGTATGCTTTGTAGCAGACACAACAAACGCAATCCGTCTCCAACTACTAGGTGTCCACGTGTCCATTATGAGTGAGTGAGTGAGTATGGTTTTACGCCGCTTTTAGCAATATCCCAGCAATATCACGGCGGGGGACACCAGAAATGGGCTTCACACATTGTACCCATGTCGGGAATCGAACCCGGATCTTCGGCGTGACGAGCGAACGCTTTAACCACTAGGCTACCCGGCCGCCCCTGTCCATTATGAAATGGTCAGTATTGGTTTGTGATGTGTACAACCGTTATCAATACAATTTCCATAATTCACGATTATATTAAAAACGAGTATAAAGATGATTTAAAATTTCTTACACTTTCTTATTGTTACACCGTGTCAGATACCAGATTCAGACATCGGCAGACAAGAATACTTTGTCACGAACAAACAATGCCATCCAGTCTTCTGTTAATGTGTTTGGGACTGTTGCTATCAATGTACATTTGTGATAGGCATATGACACGAAGCTGAGAATTTCGACGTGAAACACATTATTCTTGTAAGAGGCGAGTAAATGGATCGGGTGGTCAGGCTCGCTGATTTGGTAGATGCATGTCATCGTTTACCTGTTGCGTGGATCGATGCTCATGATGTCGATTACTGGATTGTTTGGTCCGGACCCAGTCCGCCGTCATGTAGCTGGAATACTGCCGAGAGCGGCTTTAAACAACAAACAAACATGAGTATTAAGTTGCAATTGTCACATTTTATTTTAGTCGGAACTGATTACTAACCTGAACAGTTTAACCTGTTGATATCGAAATGAGTGTATAATTATAGAGATAATACGGTATCATAGATTACGTCAGCTGTGCTATAGGTTTGTGGTGATTGTGACTGCCACACGATAAGCGCTAGATACTTACCCTTGTAGGTCATTGTGTTAGTAACGCTGATTACATCTTGAATACAATAACAGCTTAACATCTACTAAATAGTAGGGCGGTCGGGTAGCCTAGTGGTTAAAGCGTTGGCTCGTCACGCCGAAGACCCGGGTTCGATTCCCGACATGGGTACAATGTGTGAAGCCCATTTCTGGTGTCCCCCGCCGTGATATTGCTGGAATATTGCTAAAAGCGGCGTAAAACCATACTCACTCACTCACTACTAAATAGTAACCATCAATACAAGCGCTGCTTCATACTGTAACAAGACTCACATTAGCTTGCTATCTTGAGCGGCACTTATTTTCTGTACGTATACACTAGTGTTATGTGCAGAAAGGGATTTTCATTTTGAGTATTTAGGTCACGTGATAATTTAGATCTTCCAGCCTTTACGTATCGCTCAGCTGTTTCCTTTTATAGGCTCACGTATCTCCATCTAAATGCTAACTACGTGTTCAATGAATATAAATGCATTGTGGATGTGTATTAAGTGTTACATTATGATGGTAGCAGACTCTGGGTAAATTATATTTGTAAGCTACTTCTAACATATCTTTAGACTAAATAACCGCCTTTCTACATATATTTAATCACAGGCGTTGCTTGAACGGCAGGTTACATGAGTATTTGAGAGCAGTGATATGTTTAAACAGTACGCCCCTCAATGCATTGAAAAGAGACAAGATAACAAAAGACAGGTCTATTTCTGTGAGAAGGCCTCCTGGCCAAGAGCACATGTTTTGTCGCTTTTATTTTGTTGTCTTGAAGCGCTGTCTGAGCAAAATACTATAAACGTGACACCAGGGTCATATTCTCCCCAACGGTTGCGCCAAGCTTTGTTATGAGAAAACATAGTTTTATTATCTGTTCTATCTAGAAGATGTCCTATCTGATGATGCAGCCCGTCGTCCTTGTCCTCCTTCTGACGCTTGTGGCGATATCATCATCATCATCATCATCATCTCACTGCCGCCACAACGTCACCATCGACGAGAACATCTGGAACTGCTCTGACACCTTCACGCTGGACTTCCCAAAGACGGACAGCATCCCCGATGGAACGCAGGTGTACGACCTCAGCTACAACCGCATCCTGGAGCTCCACATGATCAACTCCACCTGCATGTCCGTCCACTCCTGTGACGGCTGCCTCCGGAAACTCTACCTGCACCACAACAGCATCGACGTGATTGATAACGAAGCCTTTCGGAAACTACACTGCCTCCACACTCTGGATTTGTCCTACAACAAGATCAGGGGAGAAAGTATTTCTTCAATGACATTTGATGGCTTGCTGCAGCTTGAGTTTCTCACGTTAAAGGGAAACCCTCTGGTTAAATTGATTGATTTCACACTCCGGTTTAACGAACTGAGAATGTTAAGGAAGCTTGATTTGTCAGACTGTCAACTGACATCAGTTGCGGAACATGCTTTCGATGATATATCAATGCTGGAGGAGATTGACCTGAGTGGAAATAGCCTTAAAGTCATTGACCCTTACTCCTTCGCGGGACTTAGCTTTCTTGACGTCTTGGATCTAAGCAGGAATCGATTTGAAACAATTCAGAAAGAAAACTTCCAAGCGTTGATAAAACTACGGGAATTGTACCTAGACGGAAATAACTTGGAAATATTACCAGATAAGGCGTTTGGGGGTATAGAAAATCTGGAAATCCTGTCCCTTTCGGAAAACTGGCTAAAAGGGATACCTTTCCATACACTGAAAGGCCTACAGTCTCTCACAATCCTCAACATGAGTCGTAACCACGTCGTTGAGCTTGAAGCTAGTGGCTGGCCTGAAGACGTCACATCCAGAGTGACGGAACTGTACTTGGATAATATGTACGGCTTTAACATCATCAAACACAAAGCCTTCGTTTCCTTCCCTCTTTTAAGAAAAGTGTCAATATGCGGTAACAAACAGCTGGAAGTCATAGCATACGACGCCTTCTTAGGAAACACGCATCAGATTAAGGAGGTGTATTTACGCGACAATAAGCTGGGCTTCGTGGCGAGTGGACTTCTTCCCTGGGACGACCTGGAGGTGATTGAGCTGGAAGGGAATCCGTGGAACTGTGACTGTAGGATCAGGTGGATGTTGGAGGGCGGACACTTCAAGAACAAAACAATAAGGTTTGGACTTGAATTATTCACACGACAACCGGCGCAGTAAACCAATATATGTGGACCCGTGAAGATCCGGGAAGAGAATAGGTCTTCAGCAGCCCATGCGTGTCGTAAGAGGCGACTAACAGGATCGGGTGGTCAGGCTCGCAGACTTGGTTGATGCATATCATCGTATCTCAATTGCGTAGATTGATGCTCATAATGTCAATAACTGGATCGTCTGGTTAAGACTCGATTATTTGCAGGCTGCCGCCATATAGTTGGAATATTGCTGAGTGCGGCGTAAAACAACAAACAAACAAACCAATATGTATGTGTGAGTGAATTCCAGTTATATCACGACAAGTGAGCTTAATATCGGAGGAAAGCCCGAAGTGATGCAGGTCTTAGATGTTTACCCCTTTGTCAAACCCACCAGCACGGATATGCTGCTGAAAAACGCTTGTGAGCGGCTTTTAAGTGATCAACTCTTGACAAGACGATTCAATGATTGATATTGTCAGCAATAATCCAATCCGATGACATTAAGTCACCGAACTTTATCACCAGATCAATTTAGCCGCCTCTTATGACCTGTGGTGTGACTGTGCGGTTGTGTGTGTATGTGTGTGTGAGTGTGAGTATGTGCGCGCGTGCGTGTATGTATGCTGCATGCGTGTATGCAGTGACCAATTGCATAAAAAAATATCTATGAGTTCGTTTGCTTTCAGGTGTGATGCCCCCGAAAAACTTCGAGGACAGAACTTGATAGGGTTGTCTCCAGAGGACCTCCGTTGTCCACGATCTCTCATATGGATCCTCCTGACCTTCGTCCTCGGGATCGGCCTCCTCCTCGTCGTCCTCATCTCGCTGGTGGCATGGAGGTTCCGCCACAAGCTGTTATGTCGTCGCACCCACGGCCGATACATCTCCGTGTACGCCAAGGACGTCCATGACGACGATGAGGGAACGGCGACCATCACCGTTGGGGAAGATGAACTGCCGCTAAAGGACAGCGAGGTGTAGGATGCAAGCCTCGATAGATGAGATCTTGCTACGATCATCGAATCATATCAGATTATCACAGATGCAAGAAGTCAAGAGTAACCAGTCCGTTTCATAAAGCGCACGTTACGGCAGCCTACCGTTGATTTACAGCATTCGTAGAGCTAAGATTGCTTTGTGAAACGGGCTCTAGGTCCTTAATACTTTGTTTTTTAGTCATCTTGAAAGGACTCTGTTGTTGTATAGCACTTCCAATAAGCCCGCAAAGCAATGTTAGCGCTGTGACGACAAGTCCCATATTTTTAACATTGACTTGCGACTAACGCTAAGATCGCTTTGTGAAAAGGGGGCCTAAGCAACAACCGAGTGACTAATTTTAGAAACGATCTTAGGGCTGCGATCGTCGTAACTCACATACATTAACATGGACTTAACGAGGGTCTTAGTGCTGAGATCGTTTCGGAAATCTGGACCCTGGGCAAAACTCTCATTTTTAACATAGACTGACGGCAGTCGTAGTGTTGAAGTCGCTTTGTGAAACCCGTCCAAGGTACTCTATATTTCGTGGTTGAACATGGAAACACATGGGAGATTATCAGTGATGAAGACCCGTGAAGATTCGGGTTAGAATAGGTTTTTAGCAACCCATGCTTGTCGTATGAAGCGGCTAACATGATGGGGTTGTCAGGCTCGCTGGCTTGGTTGATGCATGTCGTCGTATCACAATTGCGAAGATCGATGCTCATAATGTCAATCACTGGATTGTCTGGTCCAGACTCAATTATTTACAGACCGCCGTCATATAGCTGGTATATTGCTGAATGCGGCGTTAAACAACAATCAACATCAACTTCAACATCATCATTCAGGATATGTACATTTGTAAAAACAAATAGCGACCTAGAACATTACACACGCATCGTTACAAGAGCTCGACACGCAGATGTACAGAGTGTTGGCAAAGAAAGGCATGTATTTCTATTTAATTGTTTAATTGGTATATCACTTTTGTCAAATTTTATTCGTTGCAACCAACTAGAACATGATACTCATCTCCGACGGTAGACTTGATAAGCAGGGTCGCTTGGTTCTACGTGTTTTATAGTGCACGTTCAAGTGTATGTACATATGCTCATGCTTTCCATGTTCTTGAATAAAACATTTATGGACTTATCTATGTGTGTGTCAAATTAAAAAAACGAGATAGTATAAAAGATATTATGAAAATGGATAGTCCGATGTTTCAAACTTGACGTTCGTGAAGCATGTGATTAATCCTGTTTTCTTTATCTAAAGCTTTAATTATTTATTGTTAAGCAAGTTTATCCTTTGCAGGCGTTGTAATATGCAGCTACCAGCAAATATAGGTTTTGGAGTTACATGTATATTGCTATTAATAGTTTGAGCCCCGACTCTGCAAAAATTTAAACAGAATTTCAGGGATTCGAGTTGCAGCGCCTTCGACGACGGGGACACCCGTGGCCCATCCACTATCACATTTCATTACATCCGAATTCTCTCTCTGTGTCTCTGTCTCTATTTCTCTCTCAGTTCAGTCTCCATGACAACTCGGATGGTTGAACCCAGCTGTCTATCGATCATGTAACATCGCGTCACGTTGATAGATCGATATCATTTTATTAATACCATGTGTTCCGTTGTACGAGATTAAAGTTCACCTTTAACAATATATTCACACTAGTTACAGTTTCAGTCTAAGCAGTGATTCAACTGAATATCGGTAAGCGTGGGCCAAGGATGCTTTAATGGGGCAGGTTAGGAAAAGGGTGCAAGGTTGGGCAGTCCCCCCCTCCACCCCTTCTCCCCTCATCCCCAACCCTTTTTGCAAGCATACTAAATATTTATAAATTTTGAAGTTTTATAGGTGATCGGATAACCTGGGAGTAAGACTTAAAAAAATAAATAATATAAATAAATCATTTGGTGATATGTGAGAGAGTGTGAATGGTTTCACCAGTATTCCAGTCATGTCACGGCGAGTCAGCTTAATATCGGAGGAAAGCCCGCACTAAAGTGATGCATGTCTTAGACGTTTACCACTTTGCGAAACCCACCAGGACGGGTAATATTTCAGCAATAAGAGAACGGAGGGTCAACAGGAATGGGCTCCACACATTTTACCCATGTGGAGAATTGAACCCGGGTCTTCGGCGTCACGAGCGAACGCTGTAACCACTAGGCTACCCACATGATATGTTTTCATAAACAATATCAACGACGACAACACGCAAATTGCTTCGAGCGTAATATGCATACTTCCTGGATTACATGTCACGTAGTGGAAGTGAATTATAGATATGATCATAATTACAGATGTAATTTGTTGACGATGCTGCAGACATGTGGGTTAAAGATGCACCGAGACACATCTGTTACGTGTTGGCCCCACGCATGCTGGGACAATCTCACTTTTCTTAGAGGTATTTTGCCTTTGTACGTAAAGAGCATGCGCAAATACACAACTAGCACGTAAAGAGCATGCGCAAATACACAACTAGCACGTAAAGAGCATGCGCAAATACACAACTAGCACGTAAAGAGCATGCGCAAATACACACCTAGCACGTAAAGAGCATGCGCAAATACACAACTAGCACGTAAAGAGCATGCGCAAATACACAACTAGCACGTAAAGAGCATGCACAAATACACAACTACTAGCAGGTCACTGTCACAAGGGACAACGCATTTGTCAGCCCTGAATACATTTGTCAGCCCTGAATACATTTGTCAGCCCTGAATACATTTGTCAGCCCTGAATACATTTGTCACCCCTGAATGCATTTGTACCGCTCCAAACATTCTAGTTCTTTGGGATCACAACGGAGAACTTGTCATCGCGTGTGCTTTAAAGTTATTGTGTTTGTATCAATATTGAAGCGAACGTAAAATCTCCATTCATTGCCCCTGGGTCGCGATCGCTCTTCCCCTGACCAATGTTGGTTCTGGTTCCTACCAGAGGGGACATGATTCGCGGTTTAGGGCCTGTTCCCAGTCGATGTCTAGACGATATGATTTATAGTGAATATCAAGACGATATGATTAATTGTGAATATCAAGACGATATGATGAATTGTGATATCAAGACGATATGATGAATTGTGATATCAAGACGATATGATGAATTGTGATATCAAGACGATATGATTAATTGTAATATCAAGACGGTATGATGAATTGTGATATCAAGACGATTTGATTAATTGTGAATATCAAGACGATATGATTAATTGTGATATCAAGACGATATGATTAATTGTGATATCAAGACGATATGATGAATTGTGATATCAAGACGATATGATTAATTGTGAATATCAAGACGAATTGATTAATTGTGATATCAAGAAGATATGATTAATTGCGATATCAAGACGATATGATGAATTGCGATACAAGACGATGTGATTAATTGTGAATATCAAGACGATATGATTAATTGTGATATCAAGACGATATGATGAATCGTGATATCAAGGCGATATGATTAATTGTGAATATCAAGACGATATGAATAATTGTGATATCAAGACGATATGATTAATTGTGAATATCATGACGATATGATTAATTGTAAACATAAAGACGATAGAATTAATTTGCGAATAACAAGATATAATTAATTGTGAAATATCAAGATATGATTCATTGTCAAATATCAAGATATGATTCATTGAGAATATCAGTCAGTATCGGGTGTGACCACCATTAGCAGTGGCACAAGCTTGACAACGGCGCCAAATTGACGGACGTCATTCCAGATCTGAACCAAGGCTTCCGCAGCAGGACCAACGTCACCGCTTGGCGTTGAAATCGGCGTTAACGACGTTTCATTTTATCCAACACATGATCCATGGGCGACAGATCTGGCGAAACAGCAGACCAAGAGAGTGTTGGGATGTTCTGTTGTCCAATGAAGCCTGTGACCACGCGTGCAACGTGAGGATGTGCATTGTCCTACTGTAAAGTGATGTGACGTCCATGGGTGTGATGGAATTGGAGGGTGCGAGGACAGATAACTTCGTCATAGTAACGTAAACCTGTCAAATTACCATCGATTACCATTCACTGGAGGTTCCTGTGGTGAGCAGCGTTGCTTCCGGGACCAGCACGCATCCACCACCGAATTCAGAACGTTGCATGTACGTAACTGTCCATCCGACGTCAATAAAAACGCCGACGGCCATCACTGCTATCAAGATGAAACCTGGACTCCTCTGTGAAGAGGACTAACCCCCTGTCCTATAGCCTGAACCTCAGATGTTGTCTTGACCATGCCAGGCGGCAGTTCGATGACGTCGCAGCAACACATGACGTAAAGTTGGACGTCGTGGTCGGATATGATTATCTTGCCGACGTGACGTTATTTGTTGACGTTAAGAAAGTGGTCGGTACCTGGTGCACTGTACGCCTAGCAACAGCGTTTACTGCCTTTCCTGTTTCAAGCAGTCCAATTGCACGCAACCGCTCATTTACAGATGGGCATGGCATAACGTTTGCGAGGTTTGGCCATCTACAAAGTTGGTTTCATAGTTATAACACTTCAACGATTTACTCTTAGCTTGAATTGGCTCGGTCCCACGTGTACTGTGGTACTTACTCATTTTTTATGCATCCAAAGACCTTATTGCACGTGCAGCTTCAAGGACATCATAAGTAATCATGACAAAGTGTTTGTACATGTGAATATCATGCATGACTGAACAATCCTTAACAATGTTATTTTAATGTGATTTTGGTATGGTGCACAGGCTTTTAACACAATCACTCTAATTGAAGCTAATTTTCTATGTATTTCATATGGGAGGACATGATGGATATATTTCATTTGGAAGTACATAGTGGATATATTTCATTTGGAAGTACATAGTGGATATATTTCATTTGGAAGTACATAGTGGATATATTTCATTTGGATGTACATAGTGGATATATTTCATTTGGAAGTACATAGTGGATATATGTTTTATGGGAAAGTGTATTACGAAAGTATCATTTGGCGAGATATAAACTGATAAAAACACTATTGACCATCAAGTGTCAACTTCACATATCCCACTCAACACTAGCGGTAAAATGGGTTATTTCACAGATAACACTTAGAACGACATGTGGTTTAAAATGATCATTACTGTCACTAAGTGAATGCCAATGCGTCAATGATGTGTACGACCTCCACGTGCAAACATAAAGGCGTGAACACGACGTCGGAAAGAGTTCGTTCAGCGTCTAATGACGTCATCAGGAATCGCCCTCCATTCCTCTCTCAGTGCTTGTACACTCTGATTTCTGTTCATTGGAAGATTCGGACTGCGTCGGATGTTCTGGTCAAGGTGACCCCAAAGATGTTCTATGGATGTTCTTGGTCAGAAACTGTACACGAGCTGTGTTAGGTCCTGCTTGGTTCTGTTACAACACGATCCAGAGGTTGTGTGCAATAACCATGGCAGGACGTACCACGAGGCCAACGTAACGCCGGACATGAAGATTTCCATCAAGGACAACCAGTTCTGTCCTCTGAGACATATCCAACTCCAAAACCATACCACGGCCACCGCCACAATCTGCTAAATACGACGTTCATTTTCACACCCTTATATAGATCCGTGTTCTACCGTCGGCTCTGAACAGCTGGAACCTGCTCTCATTAGAGTGAGTGGGTGAGTTGGGTTTAACACCGCTTTTAACAGTATTCCAGTTATATCACGGCGTGTCTGCTAAATGTGGGAGGAAAGCCCGAAGTGATGCAGGTCTCGGGCGTTTACCACTTCGGTGAAACCCACGAGCACGGGTATGGTGCTGACACACCTTAAAACAAACGGGGGGAACCGGGATTCGAACCCACAATCATAGGTTTCTGGCGTGCCCAAGGGACGCAACTCTGCACAGCAAACGCGGTGCCGTAGACGACTGGGCCACCCGTGCCCCCGCTCTCATTCGAAAATAACACACGCAGCGAATTACGACATTGCCAAAGTTATTTTATTTACCTGTCAATTACCTTTCCGTAGTCTTTTATAAATAAACCTAAAATGCCATTGAAAATCATTCTGTGTTATCTTTCACCTGTGTTGTTTATATCATTTGATATATACTTTCTTTGTTTGTATGTCGCGAAAGGCTACCATTGACGAAGTTGAAAAATTGTCTGT